AAAGATGTCAAAAATACACAATGGAGAAAATACAGCAAATGGTGTTGGGAAAACTGAATGGGTACATGTCAAAGGCACTAGATTCTTCTCTCTTATGCTGCACAAAACCCAACTCCAAATGGATCAAGGACCTCACATAAAACTGAGAACTCTGAAACTACTAATAGAAAAGTCAGGGCATATGGGACTGGATATAGGCATAGGGGAAGTAAGGCGACTATTGACAAATGGGTTCTGTACAACCAAGGAGATGCACTTATAGAATGATGAAGAATCTGTTAGTGACTGGCATGACTTTACTGCCTTCTGCTTAGAGCTTGGTTTTGTCTCCCCTCAATAAGCGTCAGGGCAATGCCTGTCGAGAGCAGCCTATGTGGGGCTGCAAACAGAGCCAGCAGAGTGGCCCCAAGTCTGTACCTGATTGGGGGAGTGTGGATGAGGGAAAGGCTAGCTATAGACAATAAAGAAAAGACAGAGAGACAGAATAAAGGTCAGGAGGGCAGATCAGTCAATATTGAAATGCTAGGAGTTTATTTTTCACCACTCTTACATACCTTCTCCAAAAAGGGCAACACAGTATCATATATGGAACAAACAGGCTTTTCTTCCTTACTTATTCTAAGGGTTCAGTAACCGCACCTTAGCTCCAACTTCTTGTTCCCTAGCCCTGAGAGCCAGGAGTAGCCACACCTCCTATTCAGGTCTGTTGTTATTTAGACGAAGACAGCCAAACATCCTTCTGTAGCCACACCTTTGACCTTTAGGTCTTATAATTTGCTGAGGACAGCTTTGAACTCTCTGTCCTTGTGCCAAGATAGAGTGCAGCCGTATTTATGGGCACCCATAAATGACTAGACAGAATTCCTTAAATATTTAAGGCCATGTGTTTTTCGGTCTTTTCCAAGATCCCTCAAAAGTTGATGACTCCGCCTTAGCCTTCACCTGTTATATTTTAGCATATCTGCTCCAGTGGCCGATGAGGAAAGGCAGCACCAGAGATAATGAAGTGTCACTCTGAGTAGCCACTAGAGGGCAGCACTCTATCCCAGTCCCCTGGAAACAGGAGAGTTTTGCTCCAGGTGTTTCCTTCAGGACCCTTTCTTTCACAGAAGCCTCAGGGAGTGAGAGAGCTGGAATGTTCTTTCTTTTTACAAGCTTAGGCTCTACAAGTCTGAGCCAAACATGATTGCTCAAGGCGTCGGGATTTCTCCTGGGGAAATCGGGGAAATCACTCTTTGTCTTTCCAATGACAGAGGGGGAAATGCAGTCTCATATGTTGGTAAAAGTGTGCCAATGGTGCTTTTGCCTCCAATGTGACAGAGGAACACATCCAGTGTTGACCCTCACCTTCCTCCTCATTTGAGTCCACCTCTGTTGAAGTAGAGGCTCTCTTGTTTTCTGCTGCAAACACCAGGCTAGCTAGACAGTAAACGACTGGGGAGTCTCCCGACCCCATCTCACATCCCCTCCCCTGCCAGCCATCAATGCTAAGATTACAGACGTACAATATGTGCTCTGGGAATTTGAACTCAGCTCCTCACATTACTGTGGCAAGCACTTAACCCACTGAGACATTTCCCAGCTCCTAGGTGGCAGAGTGGATAGTCTAGTTCCAGGGGTCGGAGTTCTGGCTCAGTGGTTGAGTGCTTGCTACTTGTCCTAAGTAGGACCTAAGTTCAGTTCCTAGCATCCACATCGGGTTGCTTACAACCACCTGTAATTCCAGCTCCAGGCAATCCGATGCCTGCTTCTGCTTCATCAGGCATATACCTGCACACAAGTGCTCACACTCACACACATATGACACATGAGTAAAAATTTATGTTTGAAAAGTAGTTCCCAGAGGCTCCTGTATCTGCATTCTGCACCGTGGAAGCTCTCACCAGAACCTGGCTGTGCTATACTCTGACCACCTCACACTCCCAGCCCCAGAGCTGTGAGCAAGAAATGTTTATGTGCTGCTGGATGGAAGCTGTGCACTTCACGACAGCATCTCATAGTGAAAGAGCCTCCTCGAGACGGTCCATCCAAACCTATGCACTATTGTTTTAAATGTTTTTCTCTTTTTACTCTTTTGTCTTTTTGAGGGGCCCACCACAAAGCTCCCAAATAACAATCACACAGAGAGGCTGATTCTTAGTTATGAATGTCCAGCCGTAGGTTGGCTTATTTCTAGCCAGCTTTTCTTATCTTAAATTATCCCATCTATTTTTTGCCTCTGGCCTTTTCCTGTTCTCTTCTGTAAATCTTACTCAGTGGATTGCTGTGTAGCTGGATAGCTGGGTTGGCCCACTGATGTCCTCTCCTCCTGGTTCTCTTTCTCCTCTCCTCTTCCTCGTTTCTCCTTCTATTTATATTTGCCTGCTGGCTCCACCTATCCTTGCTCCTGGCTTGCTATTGGCCTTTCAGCTCTTTTTTAGGGCCACCAGGTGTTTTAGACAGGAACGGTAACAGTTTCACAGAGTTAAACAAATATAGCATAAACAAAAGGCACACACCTGAAAATAATATTCCCCAACAATGCACTTAACCACAGTATCCCATAGCGACAGAGCCTCCTCTAGAGGACCCGCCCATACTTCCAGGGAGGAACAGGTCCCTCTTTGGGTCACTTCTGATCTGTGTTCTCTGGCATCTGTGCACTCCAGTCAATCTTCTGGCATATGGAGTAAAGTGCCCCAACCACTCCACTGGGCACCTAGCCCTATCTACCCCTCCAGGGGATCTGGGCTTCTCTCCAGGACAGCTCAGCCTAGGAGAAAGAGGAGAGGAAAGATACTTGTCTCCTCACATTGCAAAATTAAGGTGAGGGGGCTTTCCTACAGCTGTTATTTTAAATATTTAAATTTTATTTTAAAATGTATTGCTTTATTTTGTGTGCACATGTGTATGTTATTTATGTGTTTCTGTACATGTGCATGCATATGCATGACTGTGGAGGTCAGAGGACAACTTTCATGAGTTAGTTGTCTTTCTACCATGTATATTTCAGGGTTTGATCTCATGTTTGGCTGCAAGCCCCTTAACCTGCTCAGCCATTTCACCAGCCCTGAGGTTCTTATAAAGGCACTACTATCATTTCTGATGGTTCCACCCTCATGACCTAATCACATCTCAAAATTTCCACCTCTTGACTTTACTGTTTGGGAGTAGGTTTCAACACAGGAAACTATGGGGACAGCGTCCATCTCAAAAGCACTAGGATAATGGCCAGTGTGGAATGGGGTTTGCAGTATGTACTTAAACAATGGCCTCATCTCTGAAAATACCTGAATGATGGTTAGTTTTAACTGTCAACTTAGCATCCACCTAGAATCATACCCGAAGAGAAGAGTCTCAGGGTCTGGAGAGATGGCTCACAAGCTAAGAGTGCTTGTTGCTCTTGTAGAGGCTCTAGGTTCAGTTCCCAGTAATCATATGATGACTCACAACCATCCATAACCCCAGTCCCTGGGGATCCAGCACCTGCTTTTGGCCTCTGCAGGTACTATACACATGGTGCCCACACATATATGCAAGTAAAACACTCATACACGTAATCTTTACAGTCTCAATGAGGCATGTACATGGGGGGTTGTCTTATGTTAACTGAGGTGAGAAGACAGACCCACTGTAGGTGGCGCCATTCCCTATGCAGAGCTAAGGCTGTGACATGACTAGCTCGTGCCACAGTGGTTTTCCTTCTACGATGAACTGTAAGCTGGAACTATGAAATAAACCAAAACCTTTCTCCTCTGAGTTGCTTTTGTCAAGGTGCTTTATCATAGCAAGTGGAAATGACAATAAGAAATCTGCCTATAGCTTGTTTAGAGGTTGGCTCCTGGCATCTCTCTTTGTGTGTCCTCTTCTTGGAGACAGGTCCCAAAGATGAAGAACTCTGATGGAAACCTCTTATGTGGCTTTAAAGACTCCCCATTCCACCAAGTGCAGACTTCACTTGGGAAACTATTGGGGATGTCATATGTATGGACTTGTTTCCCCATAAATAGCCCATACCAAGGCTGTTGATGAACTTTACCCAGGATTTTCTATGGGTTTTTCCTGATACCATCACCACCTCATCCCCCTGTCTGTCTAAGACCTCTCAGCTCCAGACGGAATCTGGTCCCAGGAGCTCGCAGAGAGGTGACCTCAGGCCACAGACAGTGGTGGGTCCAGTACCCCTAAAACCACATGGCTTATTTGCTGCTGGAACAAGGAGCCCAATCTACAGCTTCGATGACATCAGTGACAGGATTTGTCCCATGGAGTGCAGTCCACTCTTCATACCCCCTATCAAATATCTCATAAGATCTGGGCTTGGTGGTACAAGTCTGTAATCTCAGCTATTTGGGAGGCTTGAGGCAGGAGGATGACACATTCATGGCAAGATCGAACAACTCAGTGAGACTGTCTCGAAATAAAACTTAGAGGGCTGGAGGTGTGGGTCAATGGTAGAGCACTTGCCTAGAATCCCCCAGTGAGGGGCAGGGGTGTGGCACCTGCCTAGCATCCAGGAGATCCTGGGTTCAAAGTTTTACACACATATATATATACACACATACACAAACACACACATTGTTTTGTTTTGTTTTAAAAAGAGGATTGTTAGAGACTCAGCTGTTACATCATTTTATGAGGCCACCTGTGAATTTGTCATGATGGTGCACAACTGCTATCTCAACACTCATGAGGCTGAGGCAGGAGGACAGCGCTGCAGGCCAACCTGCAACAAGATCCTGCCTCAAATCCCAAAATACAAGAAATCCCTACCTTAGCTAACTCAGCACCCTCTTCCTAGATCCTGGGAAAAGCCGAGCCTCCAACTGTGGGGAAGGGAGGGCTAATCACTAGCTGCAGTGGTCAGAGATAGCAGAATCAAAGACCAAATTCATAATTCATAGGTGGGCCTGATGACGTCACTGTTTGGGGGGGTGGAGGGAATGTCAGGTCCAAGGTTGGGAGGAACTGGTTGACCATGAGCTGGGGGGCTGGTCTCAAAAAGAAAGAGCACTACTAGCTTGAAGAAATAACTTTTATTTTTAAATGGTGCTGCAGATGAGTCTGGTGAGGTCCACATCTGCCCCTGCTAGGATACTGGTGTCCACCCCCAGCCCATTCAGCAGCTCAAGGGCCCGGAGGGGGACAAGTGGGTCTTGGGAGCAGGAGTGGGGAGCCCCCAATCCTGTGCCTGGTAGCTCTCATGAGGCCATAGGTCCTCGCCCCCAGCTTCTGGACCACACAGCAGTCACCTCATGAGCCAGGAGGACAGCGGGGGCCAGCAAACGGGTTGTCTTCCCTCCACAGGCCTCTGTCTCCTTCAGTTTGGATTTCTGATGAAGAGTGACAAGTTTAGCTTTGTGATGCTGTCAACGAATCGGGGCAGTTCCCCAGCTAGTGCTCCTGTGCTGTAGTCATGCCCAGGGTGGTACTAAAGTCCGTGGAGATTAACTGTCCTCATTGCATAGTGGGTTTCCTGGGAGTTCAAAGGGTGCAGCTGGGCATCCTGTACTAGACCATGCCTATCGAACTGGCTTCCTTTCTACCGCCCACTCAGTTCTCTGATCCTTGTCATTATTCTGTCCCTGTATCGGTCTCTGCCTATGCCTGCTTAGTTCCCTTTATGTAGGTCCCCACCCACATTCCTCTTTTCCCATACCTACCCATTACAGGGCGGTGAAAACCTTCGAGTACGCTTGGAAAGCTTTCCTGGAGGTCAGCAGCCGGGTGAGGAGCGCCATGGGCAGTAGGAAGCAGCAAAAGCAGCAACACCAGTGATGGCCACATGACGCCTGGACAGGACTCTGCGAAGGCATGGGCTATCGATCAGAGGCCCTCCCTTCCTGCCCAGCCATCCATTCCCTCCCTTCTCTGCACGTCAAGCCCACCCATCTCTGGTCCTGAAAGGCCCGCCTTCTCACTTCTGAGGTGTCCTGTGTCAGCCCTCAGCCTGGTCAACGGTCTCCAGCTCTCCAAGAACTGTCAGGTGCAGACAGTTGTGGCCCAGCGTGGCTCTGGAACTACTGGTCTCCTCGAGCCTGATCTAAGTGCTGGCCACACCCCTCACCCAGAGCCACGCCCCTTAAGCCTGAACTGAGCCGCCCACTCTGACCAGACCCTTCAGCCCAAACCATGCACACCCACTCAGAACTGCTCCCTTGTACAATGGCCATGCCCTTAAGACTTAGCCACACCCTCCCGCTGAGGAATACTTCATGGCAGAGCTGCTCAGCGTTTTGCTGAGCGCTATCCTGGATATGGGCTTAACTTCACTCGTTGGTCCTTTGCAGATCAGGCCCCACCAGCACCATTGCCAGAACTCTAGTGGCCCATGGTCCCTTGTTCCTTTCCATTCTCCATCTCTTTTGCATATATGAGTCCGTCCTTCGTTCGTCCATCCTGTATGTGTTCATGAAGTGGCCAGAGGACGGATTCAGATATAGTTCTCTATTAAACTCCACCTACTCTTTTGGAGCTCATGCTTTTCAGCTGAACTGGCAGCCAGCAAGCCCCAGCCATCCTCCTGTCTCCATCTAGTTCAATGCTGGGATCACAGACAGCTGTGGGACCACACTGGTTGGGTGAGAACTGTTTAAATACATTTGAATGTATTTTGCATACATCTTACGAGGGCAGGCATGTGTCGTGGCATGAGTGTGGAGGTCAGAAGACAGCTTGCAGGGGTTTGGTTCTCTTCTTCCACCATGTGAGAAGTCCCAGGATTGAGTTCAGGTTGTTAGGTTGGGCAACTGGAGCCTTTACTGGCTGAACCAGCTTGCAGACCTCCTGGACATTTCTTAAATGTGATTCTTCATCAAATCAAGTACATTTTATATTTAACCCAATGGAATATAAATCTTAAATTTTAGGAATACGAAGTTTTCAAAGTTTGTAAACATGAAAAGTGATTCACACAGACACAAAAACATACATGTCATATATGCACTGAATAAATGTAATAATAAATATGAGCTGGTATGGTGGCACACACTTTTAATCCCAGAACTTGGGGGGAAAAGGCATGAGTTTGAGGTCAGCCTGGTCTTCATAGTGGATTCCAGGACAGCCAGGGCTACATAGTGAGACAATTTCTCAAAAAAAAAAATTACTAAATACATACATATCTGTAAAAATGTGGGGTGAAAAAAGATAGATGTACTGGCTTTTTGATCTTTTCAAACATTTTTGCTCAAAATATACCATAGTGGTAAGCTTCAAAGGCATGATGCAAGAAATCATAGGAGATGCCACCAAAACTAAAGTGACTATGAAGGAGCGCTGTACAGAGTTATAAAAACCAGACACTCTGACACACAGCATATGCTACACATCGGAAAAGTTGGGTGAAATCCTCTATCAAAGGATTCATGCATGCACAGAAATACACAGTGCAGAACACACCGAGGTATTCAGCATCAGACAATGGCAGGAACCAGACACATAACCTCTGCAAGCCTCAGCTAAAGCTAAATGGTGTGCGGATCGACAGCACGGATGTTTTGCCTGTGTTTATCCTTCACATACAATCACACCGTGTGCCTACCAGTGTCTGGGCTTCTTTACTTGGTCATGTGATGCCTCCGACTTCAACATCATCCCCTCCCACCGTCCAACCAGTTTCCACAGTGGAAGCACACCCCTTCCACTACATATGTGAGCCTTGAGGGTTCTGGGATTTTTTTTTTTTTGTAAGTTTTTTTGTATGTGTATATCTAGTGCATTAGTTTGTGCCTCTGTGTATGCTTTGTGTGTGTGTTGTGTGTATGTGCACCCATGAGTTTCTGCCTGGTTTGAGTAAAAGGGCATACACATGCTTAAAGTGTCAGTTTTCCAAAGTGTGTTATTAGTTTCCCACCAATGCACAAGTTCCTGCCCCGGGGCTAGGTGATTGATAACATTTGGGAAGGAATGGAGTTTGGTTCAGCACTCATGTATGGAGCTTCACACCTGCTCATAATTCTAATTCCAGGGATTCAATACCCTTTCTGGCCTCCAAAGGCACCTACACACACACACACACACACACACACACACACACACACACACACACATCTTCTTTAAATGTTCCCGTTGTGTACATTCTAACAAGTACCTGATTTTTTTTTGTGCTTTCCATTTTAACTATTTCAGTGAACAAGCTTTACAAATCACCATGCATGATGTATGAGTGTGGGCATGCATGTGCCATACAGTGTGTGTGGTTCAGAAAGGACTTTTCAGGAGTTGGTTTTCTTCCTTACACTATAGGTTTGGGTCATAGGACTTATGCAGCCATCTCACAGGTTTTTGTTTTGTTTTTGCTTTGTTTGTTTTGGCTTTTGTTTTTCAAGACAGGGTTTCTCTGTATTGCTTTGGAACCTGTCCTGAAACTAGCTCTGTAGACCAGACTGACCTTGAACTCACAGAGATCCACCTGCCTCTGTCTCCCGAGTGCTGGGACTAAAGGCATGCATGCCACCGCCTGCCTGATGGTTGAGTTTTTAACCTATATTCCTTTGATCATTAATAAACCCAAACGACTTTTCATATATGTATTGCTTATAGTCATTTTTTTCCTTTAGCGATGTGGATGACCATGTCTTTTGCTCATGTTTTCTGCTTACTGATTAGGAGGTATTCCTTATATATTCCAGATAAAGCACCAGAAAACCAGAAGCTCCAAGCCCCATTGCTTGTAAATGAAGGCTCAATAGGTAATAATAGCCATGTACAGTTGTCTGGGTACTGTACGGTGATGGGAAATGTCATTATGTATATATGTTTCTCATACTGGGTAATGAATAAAGCACTGTTGGCCAATAGGAAAGGAAGATAGGAGGGACTAGGAGACAAGGAGGAAAGAGGAAGTAGTAAGGAGGGGTCAAGATGGAGAGCCTGGGGAGGCCAGATGCAGGCCCCATTCCCCGGTAAGATGAAAGCACGTGGAAATATTAGATTAACAGAAATAGGTTAATACTTAAGACAGAGCTAGCTGATAAGAAACTAGTACCTGGCCAACAGCATTATATCAAATACAGAGTCTCTGTGCATTATTTGGGGCTCATGCGGCGGCGGGACAAAACCAGTGGCCGGCAGAAAAACCAAGTATGGGGTTTCCTGTCTATTACAAGAGGAAAGCTAGGCATCTGTGAAGGGACAAAAGCTACAGGGTTTATTCACTGGCTCTTTACTAAATATGCTTACCAATACCTTTTCCTTACTGTATGAACTGCAAGAACAGTCAACCTTTCTGTTTTCCTAGTCACTTAAAAAAAGGTTGGGTCTTAACTTTTTGTGTATTCTGCACAGGTGTTCACGGGGGCCAGAAGAGGGCATGAGAGCCCTAGGAGATGAGTTTAAAATGGTTGTGAGCTGCCCATTATGAGTACTGGGAACTTAACTCAGGTCCTCTGAAAGAGCAACAAGTGTTCTTAACTGCTGAGCCATCCCTCCAGCCCCTCCTACTCACTTTAAACTCATTTAAAATTGTTATCTATGTGTGTGTGCAAGTGAATGCAGAGACCACAGGTGTTGGGTCTGGAACTGGAGCTACAGGTGGTTGAGGATGCATAAATCAGCCCCGCTTCAAGAGAACTAAGTTTGCTAAGATGATAAATACTTTTTCACTTGAATTTTCTTCATGTGACTGTTAACTTTGGGAATATTCAGCCACCTCTAGTCTTGGCCCAGGCCAGGTCTGATCACCGTTTATAAAACAAATATCTCCACTTGGTTTGTCTGGGTTTAGGTCATATAATCATGCTACAGTGGCATTCCGTCTTAACCGTAAGTCTGATTTTCTGTAGTCTTAGGTATCTGTGGGGTGGGCTGTCAACTGCACTAAGTAGAAGCAAATTACAATATCTGGGGGTGGGCAGTTTTGGGAATCAAATGCAGGGCCCTATACATGCTAGGCAAGTGCCTTTCTACCAATCTATATCCTCAGTCTTCAATCCCTAGAGTTTAAATTGCACATCATTTTATGCAGTGTTGAAGAAATCTCACTGGGTGTCAATCATCCTCTTGTCCAGTGATTTCACACTTAGTGATATTCATCACTAAGCAGATATAGCAGAACCATAGTACTCACATTTTGGGACTATCTTGTTTCAGAACTGAGTAGAGGTCTTGGTGGAGATCTACTGTGGGCAATGAGAGGCTGGCTGTCCTGGAAATCAGAAGAGTATCGTGATGATTGATTCAAACTGCTTGCTCCGGATTCTTACATGGAGAAATGATAGGTGGCCAAATATTCTTTTGGCAAGGAACAATGCCAAAAAGTATTAACCAGACATTGTCTGCTAAAGCATACTTTGTTCTAAAGCACTGGGAATAGGGGACAATAAACAAAAATGACACCGTATTTATACTACGCAACAGTCTTCTAGTGAAATGGACCTAAGCAACCCTAAATAATGTTTGCATACGTGGTGGTTTGAATAGGAATGGCTCCCATAGGTTCATTTATTTGAATCTTGGTTGAGGTAGGTATGGCCTTTCTTGCAGGAGGAAGTGTATCACTGGGTTGGGGGTTAGGGATTTGGGGTTTGAAATGCTCGAGCCAGGCCCAGTGTCTCTCTTTCTGCTGCCTGCAGATGCAGATGTAGAACTCTCAGCTACTTCTCCAGCACACGTGTGCCTGCATGCCAACATGCTTTTCACCATGACAATAATGGACCAAACCTCCGAACTGTAAGCAGCCCCAATTAAATGTTTTTCTTTAAAAGAATTGCCATGGTCCTGGATTGGGGAGAGGTGAAGAGAATGTGGGGGAAGAGTGGAAGGAGAGGAGGGGATAAACTGTGGTTGGGATGCAAAATAAATGAATACATTTAATTAATAAAAAAATTAAAAGATTTTCCTTGTCATGGTGTCTCTTCACAGAAATATAACACTGATTAAGACAGTAAAGTTTATCAAAATAGTATTTTTAAGAAATTTTGCTCAATTTCAGTTGAAAAATTTTTACAAAACCACTCTACTGGTAAGCATTCACAGAAAAAAATTATGTACTTTCCTATTATATAACATATTTCACCATTGTAACACTTTGTCATTCTGATACTCAATATCATGTTTTCACAAATTATTCAAAGCCATGGTAGCCAAAAATTGCATAGAATTACTAATAAATTGCATTTCTAAAACATCAGAGTGTTTTAGAGTACTTAGTCACCCTTATGATCAACTCCGACTTTATAACTTCCTTTTGTAAGTTTATTCAGAACACATAACTTCCTGCATATTTTCTATAAACACCTGTTTTTACATCAGGATTATGGCTTTTAGCACAAGTTTTCAAAGTGTGTTACATAGTGCCTTATTGACAATTCTTAGCAAGACTCCCTGATAGGTAAATACAATTTAAATCAAAAATAAATATTAAATACTTTGAAAGTTTCATTCCTGTAAAAATTATCTAATGTCCCATGAGTTACATGATCATGGTTCGCTTCTTGCTGTACTTTTACAGATTCTTCTCTGAAAACTCAGTTTAAAATGGATTTTAGGACTTCTTGTTCAGAGCATGGATGCTCTACTTGTGAGTCATTGGGGTGAAGCTCTGTGTAGAGCATCGATAGCATGCAAAAGGCCCTGCATTCAATTCCCAGCACCACAAATGTAAAAATCGGGGGTGGGGGGGACCCACCCTTGTCTCCCTAATAGACTTCCAATGTTCATTATAACCAAATGTTTAATTGAGATGTCAGAGATTTTCTACACTTAGTACATTTATATTCCCTCTCTTATGAATTCTCTGGTGGCTATTAAAGGCTGATCTGTGGTGGAACTTTTTCCCACACTCATTACATTCATAAGGTTTCTCTCCTGAATGAGTCCGGTAATGTACAGTGAGGTATGACTTCTGAGAAAAGACTTTCCCACACTCATTACATTCATAGGGTTTCTCTCCTGAATGGCTTCTATAGTGTACAGTGAGGTTTGACATCCGAGAGAAGACTTTCCCACACTTGCTACATTCATAGGGTTTCTCTCCTGAATGAATCCGGTGATGAATAGTGAGATATGACTTCTGAGAGAAAAATTTCCCACATTCATAACATTCATATGGCTTCTCGCCTGTGTGTACTCTCTGATGTCTAAAGAGGGATGAATTATGAGAGAAGGTTTTCCCACACTCATTACACCCAAAGGGTTTATCTTCTGAATGACCTCTGTAATGTACAGTGTAGCATGACAAATCTGAGAATGACTTTCCACAAATATTACAGTCATAAGTTTTTTCCCCTTCTGGAATGGACTGGTGCCCGCTGAAGGCTGAATTTTCAAGGAAGGTTTTCCCACACTCATTACATTCATATTGTTTCTCTCCTAAGTCATTTGTGTGATCAGGAAGATACTGCAGCTGGGAGAACTTCCCACATTCACTACACTCATGGACTCGCTCTTCTGTATGTACCTTTCGGTGCCTAATGAAAGCTGAGTTTAGATTGAAGGTTTTCCCACATTCTGTACACTCATATGGTTTCTCTTCTAAATGGCTCCTATAGTGTATGGTGAGGTATGACACCCGAGAGAAGAATTTCCCACACTCACTACACTGATAGGGCTTCTCCCCTGTGTGTGTTCTCTGGTGTGTAATGAGAGTGGACTTTCGGTAGTAGGATTTACCACACTCATTACACTTATAAAGCTTTTCTCCTGTGTGTGTTCTCTGATGGTCGTTGAGGGCAGACTTCCGGGAGAAGGATTTCCCACATTCATTACATGGGTAGGGCCTCTCCCCGGAATGATTTCTCTGGTGTAGAGTGAGGTGTGTCTTTTGGCAGAAAGTTTTCCCACACTCAATACATTCATAGGGCTTTTCTCCTGAATGAGTTCTCAGATGTTGTGTGAGATGTAACTTCTGACAGAAGGTTTTCCCGCATTCATTACACTTATAGGGTTTCTCCTCTAAGTGTGATCTCCGATGGACAGTGAGGGTTCCCTTTTGACTAAAAGACTTTCCACACACATTGCATGCATATGGTTTCTCTCCTGTGTGAGCTCTCTGATGTATGATGAATTTAGACTTTTTACAGAAGGACTTCCCACACTGTATACATTCGAAGGGCTTCATTTCCAGCTGTGATCTCTGATATGCACTGAAATCTGACATCTGGATGAAGTCTGGTCCAGAGTCATCCCATTCATAGGGCTTCTCCGTCATATAAGCTCTCTCATGAGCCATGAAAACAGTTTCACTGTCTAAGGCTTCTATGCACTCATAATCAAAGGGTTTCTCCAAAATGGTAATTTTCTGCAGAATACTTTCATCATGTCGAGAAGAAGTATCCCCATTTTCATTAAAGTCATCCAGTTTCTCTCTGTATGTTTTCCCACAATCAATACACTTGTTGGGCTTCTCTACTGCATACCTTCCATCACTACTAATTAATGCTGAAATAGATTCCAAAGTCTTCCCACAGGAGACACATCTGTGAGATACTGTGCTTGAAGAAATGAGGTGTGATTCTAGGTCATACATTTCACCAGATGCATCCCCCTTCTCTGCTCTTCGGCTGTTGAGATCATCAGCTTGCCTCATATGTTTGCCTTCATTTTCCTGGATTTTCTCTGTGGTATCATCAACTTTACTGATTCCTGAAAAGGAGTTAAGATTGAACAAATACTGTCAACATGAATATACAAGCTACAGAAGAGGTGGCACCTAAATGTCTTCTTTGTGGATAATCCATACGTAAAAATTATTATGAGTGTATAGGTTTCCTTTTCCTTTGATTTATAATATGTAATATATATGTGGGGGGGATAAGTAGGAAGAGAGTAAATTTTACACTGAAAACAAGCACCTTAGTTACTTTACAAATCAATTTTGAAAGACAAATGAAAATGACCTAAGAAATTATGAGCAGAAAGTGTAGTTACTGAAAGGGTGTTAGACTTAGAAGTGGGAGGACTCACAGCAAAGGGAAGCAGAGGAAATTAATTATTGGGCAAATATGAAAAAGAACTGTTTTAATATGGCCTATGTTTGGGAGAAACAGACTCTCATTTATATCAAATGGCAATGCATCGCCACACAGGAAGACCGCCACCCCGGACTGTTCTGCATTTACACCAATGGCAATGCGTCACCACACAGAAAATTGTGCCTTAGACACTTCTGAAAACTTTCTTTTGATTTTGTTTGAAATAGTGTCTTTTCACTTAGCCCAGGCTGGCCTTAAACTTTCAGCAATTTGCCTGCCTTCCCTGGAGTTCTGAGACTGCAGACCTGAACCACTAAGCCCACTGAAATCTTTGCCTCTTTGCCTTTCTATCTGGCACATGAGTATAAACATTTTTTTATTTGTTTGTTTTTGTTTTTATTTTTTCAAGACAGGGTTTCTCTGTATTGCTTTGGAGGCTGTCCTGGAATTCACTCTGTAGTCCAGGCTGGCCTCAAACTCACAGAGATCCACCTGCCTCTGCCACCAATGCCCGGTGAGTATAAACATTCTAAAAGTTTCATTTTCCTCCCATTTAAAGAGAGCCCCACAACCAGGGCTTAAACAGCTTGTGACCAAAGTAAATGCTCATTACATCAGCCTTTAATTTCCTTTCAATGTCATAACTTAAATCTCCCCACACCAGGTATGGCCGCCATCATAATATATTTTCTTAATTTTGAATATAAACAAACCCCCATATTTCTGGATCTCACCTGATATAAAGTATCAAACTTCAAAAGTTTCCACTACAGTATTAATTGATGTGACCACCTTTTAAAATTTCACACTCTATTCACTTACCCAAACGACTCTGAGCAGGGCAGTCGACTTCCATCATCCATGGTTCTTCTCCCTGCTCCAACTTAATAATCACATTTGGCTTGGTAACGTCATACCCTGTTAACAGGAAAAGGAGAAGGGTTGGGACTAATTGTTTGGCTGCAGAATCACTGTGGTACAGAAAGCCATGCCACAAGTTACATATCACTACTCCCGTTTTTTTACCAATTAAGAGCAGAACCTTTTGTGTAGCTAAGAAGCAGAGCACTTGCCTAACATATAGGAGCTCTGGGTTCAATGTCCAGTACCACTAAGGGAAAAAAAAGTAGGCTCTTCCAATGGACCAGAAAAGACAGACCTCATGTCTACCCCAAAGGACTAAGGAGCATTTGTTCCTTTACACTAAAGATAGACAAATCAATGAACTCAATGCTGGAAAGCAACTGGTCCTCACCCACGGAGATGAGGTTGCTATAGTTCTCCAGCATCACATCCCTGTATGTCGTCTTCTCCTCAGAGCCCAGCTGCCGCCACTCCTCCTGGGTAAAGGCCACAGCCACATCCTTGAATGACAGTGGACCCTGCAATGGCATTGTGATCAGAATCAGGAGATACAGAAAAGGTACAGGGAAGACAAGCTTTTCCAAAGCAACTGGTACAGTTAACCACGAACATTCTATACCTTAATGTTACAGAGCCTGGAAGGAAAAAAACATATTGCAACCATGTTGTCTTGGGAAACAAGAGCAAAAACAAAACTCGAATGTAACAGTTAACTGTCAACTTGACATAATCTAGAACCATCTGAGAAAGGACGGAGCAGTAAGGGATTGTCTTCATTGTGTTAACTCAAGTGGGAAGACCTGTCCACAGTGGGCGATATCATTCCTTGGGACAGAGATCCTGCATTATATAGGAGTAGAGAAAGCAAGCTGAGCACTAGCAAGTATGAATTGATTCAGTGCTCTTTGCTCTTGACTGTAGATGTAATACAACTAGTTGCTTAATGCTTCTGCTGCCTTATGAACTGAAACCTGGAATCTTGAGCCAAATAAACCTTTCTCCCTCAGGTTGTCTCTCTCAGGGTATTTTTATTACAGCTAATGAAACGAAACTGAGCCACATACCACAGTTCAGTTCCCATTTTTCAAATGGATTGTGTAAATGGGAGAGGCTACAAAACATGTAAAATAGCTAGGAGGTGGGGGCATACACCTTTAATCCCAGTACTGTGGAGGCAGAGGCAGGTGGATCTCTGTGAGTTTGAGGCCAGCCTGGTCTACAGAGTGAGTTACAGGACAGTCAAGGCTGTGCAATGAAATCCCGTCTCAAAAAACAAATAAATAAACTTATTTTAGCATGTGCATGGCAGCAAGTGTGTCAAGGCCAGAGGGATATTGGCAGGCTGTTCTCTCCTTCCACTATGTGAGTTCTGGGGATGAAACTCAAGTTGTCAGGTTTGGTGGCATGGGCCTTTACTAACTGAGTCACTTTGCCAGCCCCGGGTTTTAGCTCTTTGATTTTTGCACATTTCATTTGTATAGCCAACTCTATTGAATATTCATACACATGAGTTTATTTCAAGTTCCACTGCAAACATTTCCTTTTTGCAGCAATACATAACATTAAAAAAAAAAAATCAATACCCAAAGGTGTTACTAGAGTAAGATATACAAGGAAAAAGGTTAAAAAAGGGACAGATGGAAACAGCACCAGTATGTGCAGGCCAGGAGGAAGGTACTTTCCTAAGGACAGCTTTAGACAGTGAGGATCAGTTTTAAATTAGAAGTAAACCAACCAAACATGATTATCTTCCTGATTCAAAACCAAAGTCCAGGGGCTAGAGTGATGGCTCAGTGGTTAAGAATGCTTATTGCTCTTGCACAGGACCCAAGTTCAGTTCCCAGCAGCACTTGATGGCTCACGACTGCCTGTAATTGCAGTTCTAGAGAGCTGGCACCTTCTGGCCTCTGTGAGTTCCTACATGCACATGGTACTAATAAACTCACATAGACATATAGTAACACAAAATAATAAATACATATTAAAAAAAGAAACAGAAAAATGCATTCTATTCTTTTAAGAGCATGGGAATCCAGGTTCTAGCCACAGGAATGTCTCCATGATACCTTTCAGATACAGAGATTTCTGGACAAGACAAGCCAGAGTCATGGGTCATGCAAATTTAGATAGGAGCCACTATTCTACAGCCAAAACAAAGGGCAGACTCTCCAGCAGAGCCCTTGCAGGTTGCCTGAGAAGTAAACTACATAACTCCCTGGAGAACTGTGATATGGCTTCAGGGACAGGACAGACAGCACAGTCAGGTGACTGCTGAATCTGATGAGAAGCCAGTGGCTTTGGCAGCGCTGCCAGAGACAGGAGACAACACAAGATTTCAGACCTCCATCATTCTATGTGAGATAAATGATAATCTATCTGAATGGGATTATTAGGACTATAGATCCAATCCAAGACTGTATCAGACAAAACAGGACATCCATTCAACTCTATTCACAGAACAGGCTTTTTGTTTCCCTAAATGAAAACTTTTAGAATCACTGGGGAGACAGACCTTTAGCCATTCTTATGGGGGCGGTAATCTTTATTAGGTTAAATGAGGCTGGAAGGCCTGCCCGCCAAGTGTGGCTTCATTCCCTTGGCTTAGATCTTGGATTGTACAAATAGAAGAAGGTGGGCTGAGCACAAGCATTCATGGTTTCCTGCTTTTTGATGATGGATACAATGTGATTAGCTGCCTCATGTTCCTACAACTGACCTCCCTGCTGGAATGGATTGTGAACCAAAATAAGCCCTATCTCTCTTCATCTATTTTCATCAGAGTAATTTTTAAGGATATTATTTCACATCTACAAATGATTTCTATGTATACATATATGTATATATGTATGTATGTGCACATGTGCACAGTGCCTGTGGCCAGAAGAGGATGTTGGATTGCCTGAATCTGGGGTTACAGGTGGTTGTGAGCCACCGTCGGGTACTGGGATCAACCCTGAAACCTCTGGAAGAGCAGTCAGTGTTAACTGCTGAGGCATCTCTGCAGCTGTGTCACAGCAGCAGGGAAGGTAACTAAGTTGTCAGGTACCCTCTCTTGATGGGAGATGTCATTATGTATATATGTTTCTCATACTGGTTAATAATAAAGCACTGTTGGCCAATAGGAAAGGAAGATAGGAGGGACTAGGAGACAAGGAGAAAATAGGAAGTAGTAAGGAAGAGTCAGCATGGAGAGACCGGGGAGACCAGATGCCTGCCTCACTCCCCGGTAAGGAGACCACATGGAAATACATAGAAATGGGTTAATACTTAAGACAGGGCTAGCCTATAAGAAACAAATAATGGGCCAACAGCATTATATCAAATACAGAGTCTATGTGTGTTATTTGGGGCTGGCGCGGCAGCAGGACAAGACCAGGCGGCAGGCGGAAAAACCCGTACACCTTACACTCTCTATTTACTTCCAGACGCTGCAGCCATTACCCCTGTAAAGAGGAGGTGAGGCAGGCAGGTAGTACTGGAGTCGGTTTGCATTAGCTGTTAATAATTCCTCTTTCCTTGTCTAGAACGGAGAATCTAGACTCAATTTCCAGTACCTCAAAGAAGAAAAATTCCCCCACAAATTTACAGAGAATATTAAGAATCATCAGCTAGCCGGGCAGTGTTGGTGTCCATCTTTAATCCTAGCATTTGGGAGGTAGAGGCTGGAGGAATCTTGTTGAGTTCAAGGCTAGGCTGGTCTATAGAACTAGTTCTAGGAAAGCTGAGGCTACATAAAGAAACCCTGTCTGGGAAAAAAACCCAAACCAAAGAATCATCAGCTAAGGAAAACAGTATAAACAAAAAGGCATCAAGAGGAACAATTCAACAGAACTGAATTTATACATGAAAAGTAATTTAGTTTCTGTCATATGTATGGGTGTTTTGCTGGCATGTATGTCTGTACACCACATGCATGTCTAGTGCCTACAGATGCCAGACAAAAGTAACGAATCCCCTGGGACTAGAGTCACATAAAGGTGTAAACTGCCATGCCATGTGGGTGCTGGGACTTGAACCTGGGTCCACTGGAATAGCAGTAAATGCTCTTAACTACTGAGCCTCCTCTCCAGCTCAGAGAAATTAAGTTTATCTATTGATTTATTTTTAAAAAGTTTGTCAGCTGGGTGTTAGTGGCATAAGCCTTTAGTCCCAGCACTCGGGAGTCAGAGGCAGGCGGATCTCTGTGAGTTTGAGGTCAGCCTGGCCTACAGAGTTGAGTTCCAGGACAGGTTCCAAAGCAATACAGAGGAACCCTGTCTCGGAAAGAAAAAAAATTATAAAAAGTATTGTGTATGTGTGCACACTTAAGCTATGGCACACATGTGGAGGACAGTGGGCAACTTTGTGGAATATGTTGTCTTCTTCCACCTTAACATAGGTTCTGAAGATCAAACTCATGTCCTCATGCATTTGTGGCAAGCACTTTTATCTGCTGGGCCATCTTGCTGACCTGATTCCTATTTTGTTTTCTAATAAATTAGGACACTGCTTCCATAAAATAAGAGTGCATTGCTAAGGAGTGGGCGTTGGAAACTACTCAGAACTAGAGAGACTAAACTGTCGGATTGGTTTCTAAGTCTTCAAGTGAAGCACAAGTGTAGCACATTATTGTAGCTCAGCTAAGAAAACTCTCCCCTCCCCAGATCGTCAATAGTTAAGAACAAAGCAACCTATAGAGGAAAGGGTTTATTTGGCTCAGTTGTCACAAGCCAGCATCAAGAGAAACCAAGGTGGTAACTCAAGGCAGGAATCCGAAGGTGGGCACTGATGCAGAGGCCATGGACCAACGCTGCTTACTGGCTTGCTCCCCATGGCTTATACAACCTGCTTTCTTATACAGGGCAGTCCTGTCCACAGTTTCCTGGACCTTCCCACATCAATTAACCTAGAAAATGACCCCACATGCCAATTTGGTGGAGGGAATTCCCCGGTTTGTATTAACAAAAATGAGCCAGCACAGAAAACAAAGTTTGGAAGTGGGAAGTGGAGTTTCATTATTACATAAGGAGGATGTCATCTCTAGCCATAGATTTTGATTTGCAGAATGGGGATTAAAGCCAGGGCCTTGTACACACCAGGTAAATGCACTACCACCAAACTACACCTCATGTATAAATGACTTGTAATAAAGAGTGCCATAGCTTTCTTTGGGGTGTTCTAAGTGGTCTACAAAGGCCATTATGATTAAAGTCTTGGTCCCTAGGGGGATGAGACCTTCAATAGGTAGAACATAGACAGCTACTCAGACTGTTGCGGGGTTGTGACCTAAGTAACAACTGTGGAGACCAGTCTCTCTCTCCTTTTCCCTATCTGGCCACAGACACTCTTCTGACATGGTCCATGATGTAACACAACTTAGAAATGACCAGTCAGTGCTGGGCTCAGACCTCCAAAACCATGAACAAAATGACAGTTTCCTCTATGAGTGAGCTGGCTCTGGTATGTCACTGTGGCGACCCAAGGCTGTAAGAGCAGGAGACAGCTGAACAAGGATAAAAACAGCCCCAAGCCTTTTGCCAGCACAGAATAAACACCCACTAAGTCATGATTCTAAATGCAAAAACAAGGGAGGCAGAATAGGAAAAATTAAAGGGGGCTTTCTTTGTAACCTTCCAAAAATGCCTCAAAATGTAGAAACAAGGACTTCCACGCTCAGCAGTGGCAGGTGGCAGGAGCAGAATGTGCCCTCCAATGTGCAAGTGTCCATCTACATGCAGTTTTCTGTGTTCTGCTGACTATGGGGGAAGTGGATGCTGCCCTTTGTCTCCCTCTCTCCGCAGTTCTGTCGGGTACTGATGCCTGTGTTTTATTAGGCATGTACATGCTTAGGATTGTTAGGTCCGTCTAACCTAACCCAACAATTGTGAAATGTTTAGCTATGTAAAGATGTGTTACATTTGTTTATGCTGTGGAGTATTACTTCAGCTGTGTAAAGGTGTGTTATATTTGTTTTGGCTGCATTTGTTAAAGATGTAAAAATGTGTTACTGTTTCACCTTATCTGCCTCAGGAACCTGAATGGCCTAATAAAGAGCTGAATAGCCAATAGCTAGGCAGGAGCAAGCTAGGAGAGCAGAGAAAATGAGTAGGAGAATCTAGGCTTGAGGAGAGAGGAGGAGGAGAGAATGGTTGAGAAAGAGAAGGAGACACCAGATCCAGGCAGGCAGTTGCCAGCCAGCAGACACAGAGTAGGCTGTACATAAAGGAAGGTACAAAGACCCAAGGCAGAACACAGACAAAAAGAACACAACTAGGCTAAGGCCAAGTACTCATTATGAATATTAAGTCTCTGTGTCAAGACTTGGGAGCTGGTTGGTGATCCAAAAGAAAAAGTCTGGTACAACTCTATGATTCTTCATACGAGACTATGATTCTATGTTTGAGAGTCTATGTATAAGACTCTGATTCTATGGATGACTCTATAATTCCATGGATAAGACTCTGATTTTATGGATGACTCCGTAATTCTACAGATAAGATTCTGTGATTCTATATAAGACTCTTCCCCGTTGGATCCTCTAAAAAAAGACCAGACAAAATCCCAAAGCACTTATAATATTCTTTAGATTAAGCAATCACTTGGTTTGATTATGAAGGGTTTTTTTTTTTTTTTTTTAAATTACATCTGGTGCTGTAGAGTGTATATTATTTCAGAAGCCATTCTGGCTCTCTCTTGAGTAACTCTGGTATGGTAGCCTAGTGAGATGGCTCACTGGGTAAGAAGGACTTGCTACACAGCCTGACTATCTGGAGTCCATGCCCAAAATCCGTATGGAGGGAGAAAACTGACTTCTGCAAGTTGTCCTCCGACCTCTACATGCATGTGGTACACATTGCCCCCCAACACACACACACATGTAGGCACATACAAAATAAAATTTTAAAACATTGTCTTAAAAAGAAAAGAATCTGTAGCTTGGAGCAAAAGGAATGCAAGATTCCTTTGTCATTTTTTTTCTCTTTGTGAAAATTCAAAATAAAATGTTGAATAAAAACAAATGCTATCAAACAGTTTAAGAAGTGTTTGCATAGAACACAAAAAACAACTTAAAGAGATTATGTGGTCTCCAAACTGAAAGAACTGTTGAGGTCAATCACACATCAATGCCCTGAGACACTCGAAACATTTTTAAACCCGCAGGCTCAGGATAACAAAAACATGAAACGTGCTGGTCAGATACCCCCGAATACTTCTAATCTGTCTTCTTACAGAAGCTATGGGGAGTTTACTTTCACAACAGTATTCTAGCTCATACATGAGGAAGAAATGTTACAAAGAGTGGGTGAACATTCTGCCTTCCCTAAGAACTTTGTAGACTGTGACAACATCTATCATTTCATAGCTGCTAATCAATCAACGGAGACAGGAACATAACAGACGTTTCTAGAAGGAAACACACAGATGTCACGTAAAACAGTTTTGACGGCAGTGTTGTCAATTTTACAGAATCTCGAGTCACCTGGGAGATGGGCCTACTGGGATTGTCTTGATTACATCAGGTGGTAAGAGCCTATTGCTGTGTATGTCACCGGGCTCCAGGTGATCCTGGACTACTGAAACACACAAAGGGGGCTATGTGGCAGCATGCTTTCCTCTTTCCTTCTGACTTCAGACAAGAATTATCAGCTCCCTTAAATTAAGCCCTTGCTTCCCCACCATGACAGGCTGAACTCCAGAACAGTGAGCTCAAACAAAACATGTAATTTGCTTTTGTCATGAATCAAGATCATTCTTGGGCTACAATAGCATTCTGAAGGCCAGCCTGAGCTACATGAGGCCCTGTCTCAAAACAACAACAACAAAAATGAATGGACATACTCTGATTAATCTTTTCGAGCAAACTATCAGTCTCACAAGGCATGCAATGAATTTTTTAAGCTACTTTAAAGGTAAAACAATAATGGCAAGATTTCAAACTGTGAAACAACAATCCAGTTTTGGTGGTAGGGGAGGCGACAGAAAAAAATTAAAACCTATGAAGCTTTCTAAAGAACCATTATTAAAAGATTTTTGGTCAAACTGCCACAATGTATAGTCTGGATTTTACTCCTAGGATTGAAAAAGTAAAAAATGGAAATATCCCATTGGTTTATGACATTCTGGAAAAATGTTAAGGAACAGGCTCTTGGGCAGCTGGGCCTCTGCTTTCAGACCAGAAAAGGAGAACACAGGACTGAAAAGTTATTAGGAATGTGGCCCATAACCATACCAACTTGAATAAAGAAAAGGTCCTAAGTTCTAGGCAATCTTTACTTTCCATAAGCAACAAAAATGGCATCTCCCAATAGTACATGCAGGTGATGTAATGGATACTATTTTTCTTTCTCTAATACTGTCAAGTAACTTTAGCCTAAAATGATCACACTGCCTACACAACAGACCATCATAATCTGCCACTCAGGCTATGTTTTATATGACAATCTCCATTATTTATTCCTCCACTACTATTTTAAAGAACAGTCCTTTGTCAGTCTCCCAAAATACATTTCAATGGAGAAAAGAATATTTACAAATGGGAAAACTCACCTTTGATCTACTCATTTTCTGCTGTTCTTGGGAAAGTGCAGGCACTGCTGATGGTGGACCTATGGGAGGAAAAGGTCACTATAATCAGCATTAACTGGTCGACACAGGGTCTCTTCTCTTGCCTGGGCACCACCGAATGAAATCATAGCCTACAAACATTTTGAAGGGGTAACATGGATGACAAAAAGGAATCACACATGTAACTCCAATAAGCAGCGGCTGGATGGGTATATTTTCTTTCTTTCTTCAAGGCAGAGTCTCTCTCTATAGCCTTGACTGTCCTGGAACTCACTCTGTAGACCAGGCTGGCCTCGAACTCGGAGATCTGCCTGCCACTGTCTCCCAAGTCCTGGGATTAAAGATGTGCACCACCACAGGAAGGTTGGGAAAAACTTTTAATTTTTACTGTGTGTGCATCGGTGTTTTGCCTGCCTGTTTGTCTGATCTTGGCGTTACTGACAGTTGTTAGGTGCCATGTGGGTGCTGGGAATTGAACCCGGGTCCTCTGGAAGTCAGTGCTATTAACCATTGAGCTATCTCTCCAGCCCCTGGGCTACACTTTCAATGATGAACTCAACACTGCTTTTTTTTTTTTTTTTCAGTCCCTGGGCATTAGATGTAAAGGTGTCAAAAGGTTACTTATTTTATTATTTCCTACTCAAACTGTTGAAAATGTCATGTTGATGAAGAATCTGAGCTCTATATGTTTGGGATTAATGTCCCATAAGATGACTTAAATAAAATCCCCGCTCTCTGGAGGCTGAGACAGGAGGATCGCCGAGTATCAGAACAACCACGGAATCCACGTCTCAAAAACTAAAAATGGAAAAAAAGGAAAATGGTCCAGATGGGCAGACGTCGTACTAACATTAATAAGGCGTGTTTTTTTTTTTTCAAACTATCCAACTAAACTTGGTTACTGCTGCACATTCCAAAAAGGAATACGAGAAAAACTGGAAAACAATGGCACCCTTATCCACAAACCGCTGCACGCCTTTGGTTAAGTCCCACACCATCGCACTCAGTCTTCCTCCACTAGCAGAGATAAAAGCATACTTCTGCACTACACCGTTATGATGCTACAAGAGTAGTCAAAGTGCTACAGGTAGAAACCAGCAGACAGCACTGGTACTGGTGAGCGCTGACTGACACTGTGGGAATCTAGAGCAGCTGACCCTTCCAGTGCCTGCACATCTCCTCCTCGGACCGTCCATGCATCTCAAAGCGGTGCGGCTGCCCTTCTGTCAGCCCGACCATAGCGATCCTTCCCCGCTCCGCACGCTGGAGACAGCGGGGATCCCAGGTTGACACATATCGTAGGTCCTCGGCGAACGACCCGCCAGGCCCAGCCTCCCTCTCCCAGCCCCGATCTGTGCCCACGGGCCTCACCAAGCGGGCAGACCCGCCGCCGCCCCTGTTCTCCCAGCCCTCGGCCTCTGCGCAGCGATCTCGCTAGGTCTTTCCGGACCGCACAGCCGCGCTTGCCGGCTGCAGACCGGGCAACTCTGGCCTCGGCCAGCCGCAGGCTCAGCAAATCTAACTTAGCCAATGCAAAATCTGCTGCAGCAAAGATAGCCTCAAGCCTGGACCTTCAGGAAGTCAGGGCGGCGCAGATGCTGTGCGCAAGCACAAGCACGCGCAAAGGCTCAGACGCGCAAGTGCAGCATCATACCGGAAGTCAGTGTTCCAAGGATCCTTTCTCCCCAGGAGATGCGCAGAAACTCTATCTCCCAGAAGGCTTCGCTCCTCTGCATCTAGGGACCATCTCGCAAGAATGTACCTGCTCCCAGCAGCTTGGAGGCGATGCTCTGAGAGCAATGGCCGCCCCCAGGCATGCTCTCATCTTCGCGTTTGTCCCCACTCCCTTTGAGCTTGGAGAAACGGCCTGAGGGTTTAAGTCCCAAATCCTTCTAGGCCAGGGACTCATAAAAATAGAAAGAAGATTCTGGAAGAAAGAAAGGCAGTTGTGTGTCATTCTCAATTAACCAAACTTCCTTGAAATAATAGACGGGAGAAATATCCAGCAATGATTTACAAAGAAGAAAGAGAAAATACAAATGGTGGGTTTTCTAGATCACACGACTAATGCATAAAAACTCCAAAAACAGAACCAGAAAGAGCACACAGGGGTCAGGCAACGATGGCAAACTTTAAAAAATGATACAATATGATGAACAATTAATTTCTTGAAGAAATAATGCAACAGTGTTCTTGGTCTAATCTTTCATTAAGATGTTGGCGTCAAAATTAATACCCAAATTTGCCAACCCAGAAAGTTGTCTGTGCTGATGCAGAAAGTAAGAGAGTTTCATCATAGAAGAAGCACCAAGCCACCCTGAAGTGCCAGTCTTAGGTACACTACCTAAGACAGAGCATCACTGAATAGCCCCTCGTGGTTTCTCAGGAGAAAGGGTGACTCCTCCTCCTCCTTGGAAGGCCTGCTCTGCAAGGTTGACTGCCTCTTCTTCCAGGTCTGTCCTGATGTCACTTGGTAATGAGGTGTCCATCTAAGCTGGTCCTTGTGTCATGAAGTAAAAGCTCTCACATCCCTGTGACAAGCAGGTAGTTAGTTACCTCTCTGAAGGAGGAGCCTGGACTAAACTCTGCAGGTTACAGGGAGATAGCAATACTCTCTTTGCTGAGGTTTACACTGCACAGAAGGGACTCGGGTCTTTCAGAAAAGGAATTCCTTGCTTGCAACAGGACATTTCAAGTTCATATAATTTTTGTACTAAGAAAAGATTTCAATGTGTACAGACAGAATGAGGGTCAGCAGGCTGAGATCCTTCTCCTCTGCTCAGATTGGATCTGAGCAGTTAAGAAGAAGCTCAACTCGTGCAGGCATACCAGGCTCTTGTGTGCCCATGGTCTACTGGGCCCAGGCCTAGAGGCTTTTGGCTACAAGTCCTGAACTTTTAATGTTGGGGTGTTTACCACTTGGCAACTGTTGTAACATTATGGCCTCCAGCAGCAACAGGAGCAACCGTGCCTGTTAACGTGCTAATGCTGACTCTAAATAGACTCAGGCTTGTGACTCTCAGTAGCTTGTTACAGTTATTGAGTCCAAGATACATTCATAGCTTGATTAAATTCCCCAAGTGACAGGGAGATGGGGATGTCTTTTCATTAAGGTTTACATTGCAAAGAAGGGACTCAGATCTTTCAGAAAAGGAAGTTCTTGCTTGAAACAAGGGCAGAAAACTTATATATTTTAAAAATATGTATAAAGAGACAATATGTATATCTATTATGAATTTTCTCAAGGAAACACTCTTTTTAAGATAAGTAGAAACTCTTTACCATATGTCAACAAGCAAATTTTAATCTTTTATTTATACCTCATTGCTGGGGATAGAACACAGGCCTTTCTGTATGTTAGGCAGGTGCTCTAGTGCTGACTCACACACCCCAGCCCCTCACTGGGGGAGTCTAGGCAGGTGCTCTACCACTGAGCCACACCCCAGCCCCTCACTGGGGGATTCTAGGCAGGTGCTCTACCACTGAGCCACACACACCCCAGCCCCTCACTGGGGAGTCTAGGCATGTGCTCTACCACTGAGCCACACACACTCCAGCCCCTCACTGGGGGAGTCTAGGCAGGTGCTCTACTACTGAGCTGCATTTCTCAGCCCAACTGTTTTTTTCAAACCATGTAATGCAAATCACAATATCAAAAACAATGATAAAAATTTGGAACTAAAAGTAATAATGCTGGAGACTAATGGTCATCATATACCTTGATGAAAATATGTACTATTGGGGCTGGAGAGATGGCTCAGCAGTTAAGAGCTTATCTCTTAGAGGACCGAGATTGGATTACCAACACGCACATAGTGGTTCACAACTGGCCATAACTCTTCTGGCTTCTATGGGCGTGGCATGCTCATGTAGCACAGACAAACATGACGGCCAAATAGCCATACACATAATAGTCTTTAGAAGGAAAAAAAGTAATGCACTGTTGCGAGAGTACATGGATTATAAATCCACTTACACAAACATTTTATACCAATACAAAATATTTTAAAGGAAAAATGTGAAGTAAAATAAGATACTAACAAACTCGTGCTCTAAAAGATAAGGCCAATATCAAGCCCACATAGGCTAACAACAGTATATTTTCCATGGGGATAGATGTAAAATTGAGTGGGCATATTCTGGGAGCATGTGTGATGTGGGACAGAGCATCCTATAGCTCTCCCATCTCAGAAATTGAGTACAGGGAGACGTTCATATTGCCTGCTGTGGGAATGTAGGATGTTGTTCAGAAACTGGAGTAAGTGAGCTGTGAATCACAGTCCAGAGGGAAGAAGGGAAAAGAAACTGCACATTGTAATGAAGGATTCCAGTGTGTGCCCCCTTACCTTGGAGTGAGTGGAGGGAGTAGGCCACTTAGGAAGGGTGCGTCATAATGGGTGACACAGTGGCCCATCAGGAGATCCAGGCTTCCACTCCAGCTGTCAGTCATCACTGTGTGACTGGGGCAGTCTTGTGACTTTCAGTTGCCTTAATTAAAAGAAGGACTCAGAGAATAATTAGTTGTCTTATCTCATAACGTCTCCCATTCACCAGAACGGGAGATTTACAAGGACCAACTCTGTGACCATGAAGCAAGCAAAGAGGATGCACTCTGGGCAGAAAGGCAGTAAGGGGAGATGTGTGTTAAGAATGTGTGCTCCTGATGTGTATATATAACATATACATCAACATTTCATTCATTTTTAATCTGTTCCATTTGTGTATGAGTGTGCATGCATGTATGGTCAAGAAAATAACTTTGGGGAGTGGGTTCTTTCTCCACTCACTGCACTTGTTTTTGAAGCAGGTCTTGTGTTGTTCCTGTGCTGGGCACTCTGGGCTAGCTGGCCAGCAAGCTTCCTGAAGGCAGATCCCAGGCCCATGAGCTTCTAGCAGCCTCTGCCCTCCTCCCATCTTGCAATTGGAGAGCTGAGATTCCAGATGAGCAACCGCATATGTCTGTCTGCTTGTTTGTTTTGCTTTTGACCTCAGCTCTATGGGTGTGACCCAGGTCACCCAGCTTTCACTGCAAGTGCCTTTACCTATTGAGCCATCTCCCCAGCCCTTCATGTCACCTTAAGGTTCCACAATTGTATGGATAGATCACATTTTGTCTATGCACTAATCTGCTGATGGACACTTGCTGATCTGCTGATAGATGCTTGGAGGGTTTCCAATTTTTGCCTATGATGAACAAAGTTACTATGAACATCCCTGTTCAAGCTCCATCATCTGGTAATCCTGTGTTTGATTTCTAAAGGTGCCACCAAATCCATTTTTCACATTGGCTGCAGCAGTTCACAATCCTTCCAGCAATACAGTGTTCACCATATTCTTGCTAACGCTTGTTACTCTGCAGCTTATTTATTACCACCATCCTCATGGGTGTGAAGTAGTATCTCATGGTGATTTTTCATTGGCGCCTTGCTTTTAAAGAACTTGTTCAGTGGGGACAGGAGAGATGACTCAGTGGTTAAGAGACTAGCTGCTCTTCCAGAGGTCCTGGTTTCAGTTCCCAGAACTTACATGGTGGCTCACAACCACCTATAACGGTAGTCCCATGGAATCTGATGATCTCCTCCAGTGTGCAGACAAAACACACATACGCATAAAAAACAAACAAACAAACAAAAAAAAAACATGTCCAATCCAACCAAGATTGTTCGTCAATTCATCACTGATGTCCCCCCACCTCGTGTATGTGTGTAGAGCAAGGGTCAGGCGTCTTCCTCAACTACTCTTTGTCTGTTCTTTTCTTTCTCTTCTCTTCTCTTCCAGAGCTAAGGTCTGAGCCCAATGCTAGGCAAGTGCTCTACCATGCAGCTAAATTCCCAAGCCTCCACCTTAATTTTTGAATTTGAAGCTTGCTGATTCTGCTAGAGGGGACAGCCAGTGAGCCCTAGGGTTCTTCCTGCCTCTGCCTCCCCAGCACAGAACTACTGGCAAATGCTATGTACTTGGATTTTTTTGTTTTTTAACGTGGGTGCTGAAGATTGAACTCAGGTCCCTATATTTATTCATCAAACACTTTGCCAACTAAGAAACCTGTCTGCCGCTGCCATGCCCTTCCCCCCTCCGCCCCACCCCGCCCTATAAGGCTTAGTTTGTTTTAGTTGAAACAGGTTTCACTCTGTAGCCCAGGCTGGCCTGGAACTTACAGCAAAATCCCCCTGCCTCCGCCCTCTAAGTGTTGGGATTGCAGGTGTGTGTCATCATGGTCAGTTGGATTCTGAATCTTGTTTGGGTGGCTTGCTTAGATTAGGCATGTGGGGACTTGCTCCCACATTCACAGGCCTGTGTGGAATGTCATCCTATCAGTCCCTGACCTCCACTCCACCAGCTTCCCTCATGCTCAACCTCTAGAACAGGGACAATGCCCTGAACTCAATTGTTGTCCTGTTGCAGGTAACCACATGGATGGTCAGGTCCTGGAGCTTGCCTCTGTGTGCCATGCCATCTAAATTCACTTTCTTCAATGGTAAGTACTGGGCCCTCTCACCTGTGACAGCACAACCTCACTCCTCTTGGCCCCCCAGTCTGTCCACTGTGGGGACCCATCCTGCACATAACTGAAACTTCTCCATGTGACTTCCAGGAGGTGGCAGCTCCTGTATTCTCCCAGTGGAGGAAAAATGGTAACCAGGGGCTAGGAAGATGGCTCAGTGAATAAAGTGCTTGTCATGCAAGCATGTGGATCTGATATGAGTTCAAATCCCCAGAATCCATGTTTTTTTTTTTTTTTTTTTTTTTTTTTTTTTAGGCTGCGAGGTGGTGGTGCAAGCCTTTAGTCCAGCACTCAGGAGGCAGAGGCAGGTGGATCTCTGTGAGTTCAAGGCCAGCCTTGTCTACAGAGTGAGGCTACACAGAGAAATCTTGTTCACCCAAAATAAAAAAGGAAGCAAGGTAGGGTAGCTTGGGCCTGTAATGTGAGCTGGGGAGACAGAGACAGAAGATTTTCCTGTACTTGCTGGCAAGTAAGTCTAGATAAGTCTAGATGAAGCTGCAGGTTCAGTATGAAACTCTGTCTCAAAAACACAAGGTCGAGTGTTGTCGAGATGGCTCAGTGGGTAGTAACAGCACCTGTTGCCAAACCTGAGCCTGTGACCCACAAGGTAGAATGAGAGTGATGCATCCAGAAGATTGCCTCTGACTTCTGCACCTGCCCAAACCTGCTCCAAATAAAATAAACTTTAAATGTATAATAAGGTGGAGAGCAATTGATGTCTATCTCTATATCCACACACATGTGTCTCCACACATAGGCATGTGCAAAACATAAATTAAAAAGAAGCTATTTTATTTTGTATGTGTGTTTTGCCTGCGTGTATGACTGCACACCACATGTGTGCAGTATCCTTGGAGACCAGAGGAGAGCTTCCCTATTCTCCTGGTAGTGGAGTTACAGATGGTTGTGAGCCACCGTGTACGTGCTGGTAATTAAACCGGGTCCTCTGGAAGAGCAATCAGTGCTCTTAACCGCTGAGCCATCTCTCCAGCCCCATACGTTTAAGTGACAAGGAGATGAAACATGACCATGGCTTCAGTGGCAGCTTGTGCATGGATGTCTTGAAGATCAACGTGAAGATGCAAGTGGTGTTTGCCTTGATCCCCAGCCCTATGCTTCTCGTAGTAGTCAGAGGCAACCACTCACCAAGATCAAGGGCAAAGGCAAAGCTACAGACCCAACAAGGTGTGGAGAAACCAGGGGTGGACATTCTGCCTAAGCCTCTCTCCCAGGTTTCCATGCTTACACAGGCATCAAAGGTTGCAGGAGGAGTTGGCTAGATGGTTTCTCAGAGGACTCCGGCCTGCTTCCACCCAGCAAAGAACGCCTTCCTTCACAGTATCTTCACTCAAAAGCACTCTCCCTTTGCTATTCCCTCAATAGACACTTCAGTTTTCTTAGTGAAAAGTTGGCATTTGTTTATGTAATGTTTGTGCCTGTGTACTTGCATGGCACATATGGAGGTCTGAGGACAGTTTGTGGAAGTCAGTTATCTCCTCCCGCCATGTGGGTCAAACTCAGAGCAACATGCTTAGTGGAAAATGCCCTGACCTACATAGCCACCTCAGCACCAGTTCATTTCCCTTTTGAAGTCCCTGTTGCATTCTGTGAGTCTGTGTGTGTATCAGTCGATGGTTAAGCAGGCCCCTTTCTTCTGCTATTAGAATCAGTGAAGCTTAACCCAAGTATCTGCATTTCTGGGGAAGCCACAAGTCAGCACTATATGTCTTCTTCTATCTCTCTCTGAGAGAGAGAGAACACCAATGTAGACCTGAGAGCGTGCAAGAGGCCAGGGGAGGGCATCAGATATACTCTATCATTCTGTGCCTTATTTCTCATTTCTCAGATGGGCTAGCAGCAAATAAACCCTCGGGATCCTTCTGTACTCTGTACAGAGTGTGTACTTCTGTACACACACACACACACACACACACACACACACACACACACACACACCCCTGGAATATAGGTACTGGAAAGACTGTGCCTGGTTTGTGTGGTTGCTGAGATTTGAACTCAGATCCTCATGGTTGCACAACAAACATTTTAATGACTGAGGCATCTCCCCAGCCTCACCCCTCACCTAGTACACAAAGGGAAAAGAAGGAACCAGACATGGAAGATGGTTTAGTTCATGGAATGAGTCTAGGTCAGTGGCAAAGACATGCCAACCCTGGGTCATGAGAGAAAGTGGACACGTTAATTCATAAGTTACACAAGCTTTCTTTCGAGCTGGTTTTCAGGTTGAAAAGCTGATGACATCACAGGTTTCTGCCCACCTCATATGAAGGGCCACACTCTGTGGGTCGAGGCAGCCCAATGGAAAACAGTGTCTTCTCAGAACTACACTCTTTTTGTTTCTGTTTGTTTTTTTTTTTCAGACAGTGTCTCTCTGTGTAGCTTTGGAGCCTGTCCTGGAACTCCCTCTATAGACCAGGCTGGACCCCAACTCACAGAGATCCGCCTGCCTCTGCCTCCCGAGTGCTGGAACTAAAGGCGTGTGCCACCGACACTTGGCACAGCTACACTCTTAAGATCTCCTCAGAAAAAGGAAGGGGCATCATGCGTGGAGGAGGGTGGGACAGATCAGAGGCTGGGATTCATGGAAGGGAGGAAACAGCTTGGGAGAATCGTGACCGCTGGCCAACTGTCACTGTGTTCTGAGGAACAGAGTCCTCAGCCTGGCATCACCAGGCCCTCACCTGGCGGGGTGATCTCAGGACCAACAGGTGAGGGGACCGGGTGAGAAGAGATGTGAGAGGTGGATGGCAAGGAGGAAGGACACAGAAGGAAGGAAGGAGGGTCCAGGAGGCAGGCCTGGAGGCAGGGAGGACAGGGGGTCAGACACAGATGTCACATGCCTGGAAACCCGCAGAACAAGGAAGGGGTCAGGCACCGAGAGGCAAAGACAGGGCAGAGAAGAGGGGACACAAGAAGAGACTTCCTTTTTATGGGGACAATTGTCTCTAATGAGAAAGAACCTGGAGGAACAGGGAGAGAGGGGATGGGCACATGATGAGGGGCAGGTGGCTATCAGCACAGAGGGAAATGGCATGATGGTTTGGGGAAAATCAGAAGCTGATGGAGCTTGGGGTGTTTGAGGTGTTTGGGGGTACCGTGGGGCAGTGCTGAGATCAGCAAAGCCTGAGTTCACACTGGTTTCTTCACTTAGAACCAAGTGAGGAGGCCCATCCCCAGCCTCCATCCACCAGCCCAAAGAGGAAGAGAGACTTGTCATCAGATTCTGAGGATGACCTGGCAGAGCTGCTAGAACCTGATCCTGAGCCGGTGTGGTCAGTGGAGACATTGTGTGGGCTCCGGATGACGCTGAAGAGGCGGCACGTGTCTACAGTGAGACCTGAACACCACGAGGTCTTCACCAGGCTGCTGGGTAGGTGACACCTGCATGGCTCCCTCCCTAGGCAAAAGAAAGAACTCCTAGTCAACCTCCTTCCTTCCCCAGGGGAAAGCTGCCATCACAGCTCAGTTAATTCTCAGGGACCATGGGTGGCAGGGGCTAGCATTGACATAGATCTGCATGGAGATGAGAGAGTCTGGAGTTCACTACCCCAGCTATAACTTAGCTCTGACTTTGCTGAGCTAGGGTCTTCACCCACACAAAGGCAGCTTGTCCATATTCATAACCTCACATGACATCAGCTGTTGGGTATCTTGGTCCTTGGCTGTGGATGGAGCTCAGCGGTGGATTCTTGTCTAGCATATGCAAGGCCTTGCATCAATCCCAGAGTGACATACACATAAAAGGCATTTAGTAAGTGTGTATACAAGTCACTGTATTCGAAGCCTCTCTCAGAGCCTTGTCCCAGGAGGTTCAGGTGGGACCTCTGCCACTGTGCCCGCTCTATGCTTCAGTCCTGTGCCCACTCCATCCTTCGTTCCTGTGCCTAACTACAGGTTCCGACCTGACCCTCCCCCAGGAGGCCATTGCCTGGCTCTCTCTCTCTCCCATCTGTTCCCCTTCACACCATGACACATGTGCTTTGTTCACAGAGGATCCTGTCGTGAAAAAATTCCTGGCCTGGGACAAGACGCTCAGAGTGTCTGATAAGGTGTGCTGAGCTGGGCTCCAGATCTGTCCTGCCTGACCCACGGTGCTCCGTCCCTCCACAGTGCCCCCTGAAGCCACACACACAGTCCTGAACCTCGGTGTCCTGCCAGTGTCTCTCTTCAGGGCCTGGCAGTGTCTTACAGAGTGGACAGGAAGCCCCTGACTCACTGGGGTCCTTGGAATCTGAGCCCATGGTCACCATCTTACCCTGGGAATTGCCTCTTCTCTCCCCACAGCTCCCTGGGACCCTTTGTTCCTGCAGGGCAAAGACCTCCTTGTCCCTGTTGTCCCAAGCCCTCCCTCAGAACTGACTCAGAGCCAGCCATGCTGGATCAACAAGGGCCTCCTCCCCGGGCCTGGCCTGCCTGAAAGCCCCCTTCACCCATCCTCCCTCACTCCAGCAGGCACCCAAAGCTCAGGGATCCTCTGTGAGCCTAATGCCAGCTCAGCCTCCCCCTTCCCCTGTCCCTAGACTCTTCCTCTCCAGGGTGTGACATCTCCTTTCCTGTCTCCTCTCTCCATCAGTACCTCCTGTCTATGGTCATAGCTTATTTCAGCCGCGCTGGGCTTTTCTCCTGGCAGTATAGGCCAATCCACTTCTTCCTGGCTCTGTGAGTATTTTGTCTCCTCCTGTTGGTCACTGTCCCCTGCCCTAGATGTTGGGTCATGAGAAGAGGGCCTCTTACCTTTCATCTCTCATATACCTGGTTGTGTAGTTTTATGAGGGAAAGCAAGCGAATATCCATTTAAAAACCGGGCAAGTGACCAGAGAGATGACTCAGTAGGTAACACATTTGCCATATGTGCATAAGGACTTGAGTTCAGATCCCTAGAGCCCAAATGAAAAGCCAGGGACAGTAGCACATGGTTGGTATCCAGTGCTGGGGGAGTCATCAGTATCCCTGGGACTTGCTTACAAGCCAGTCTAGACTCATTGGCAAGACTTTTGTCCCAGGGAGAGGGTCTATATAAAAAAACAAGGTATGTGGTTTCTGAGGATCAATACCTGATGCTCACTTCTGGCCCCCACACAGACACACATGCACCTACACACCTATATGTATACGTGCAGCACGCATGCACACAACACACACACACACACACACACACACAGAGAGAGAGAGAGAGAGAGAGAGAGAGAGAGAGAGAGAGAGAGAGAGAGAGAGAGAGAGACTAAACAAGAGACTGGAGAGGTGGCGAGTTAAAGCACTGCCTGCTTTTCCAGAGGACTTGGACTTAATTCCCAGCATTCACAAGGTGACTCACAGCCATCTGTAACTGTAGCTCCAAGGGCTCTGAAACACTTTTCTGCCCCATTGAACACTAGGCATGCACATGATACACAGGCATGCCTGCAGGGAAAACACCAGCAGAGATAAAGTAAGAAAATAAAATAACAATGGAAGATCTGGGATTAGGGTGATCTGGAAATGGTTGCTGCTGTTTCTTCTCCTTCTGCTCCTCCTCTCCTTCCTCCTGCTGCTCCTCTTCCTTCTTCTTTTTTCTTCTCTTCCTCCTCCTCTTCTATTTCTGTTTGTTTTGGTTTTTGAGACCGTGTTTCTCTGTGTAGCCCTGGAGAGGCAGGGCAGATGGAGGAAGAGATACATGTCCAACAGTAGACAGCCTGTAAACTCACTTGGAGAACTGAGAAAAATCTGGGTACTCAAAAGCTAGAGATTCAAGGCAGACTCTTGGCGGGTCTGTGTGAGTGGGAAGAGAGGGTGTGATTTTATGTGGCTACATTATAACACACAGAGCTAGTTAGTGTCCCCAAGAACCGAGGTGCAATGTTTCCTTTATTGCCTCTCTCTGTGCTGAGCACATCGGACACCACCCCTTCTTTCCCCCAGCCCCCATGACAGCTGTCCATCTCAGGCCCCCTGGTGCTTTTCCTTTCCAGCCTGTCCCTCTCTGGTGGGTGTGCTTTGTGTGAAAACACAGGCAACACCTTCTCAGGCATCCAGAGGACTGCACCAGGAACCACGTTCCACCTTGAGGCTGGAGTGCCCAGTGTGAACTCTGCCCTCTGTCCAGGTGCTCTCCAACCTGCCTCCCAGCCCCCTCATGCTCCCTCCCTGGCTGCCTCCTTCCCAATGCCCTGTCCTTGATCTGATCCTGTGTTTCTGTGTGTCTCACAGTTGTCTGCCCAGAGACAGTTCACTCCCTGTAAAGTCAGTCCAAACTCTGAAACCGATCTGCATGACAAGGAGCCTCCTGTAGCTCAGAAGGCTGGGGTGGAAGGATCTCTTGAGCTCAGGTATTTGGGGACAACTTGGGCAATATAGTAGGACATTTCAAATCACACGAAAAAAAATGGACAAAACCCCCTTGGTGCCTTCCTTGATCTGGCTTTTGCCTCTAGCAGTATCGGAATGGACTCCATCAAGGTAGGATATTTAGAATTACAGTCTCTGGTGCTGCCCCTCACTTTCCTGGGTCCTATTGCAGTGCACCTGTTGATGGCAGGGGCTTGTCAAATATCCTGCCATTCTTGGAACACCTTAATTCTGTTTATGTTGGGAGAGGCTATGTTATACTCAGTCAATGTCGTTATCAGTGTTAACTCTCACTTTCATTTGTTCTCTCACTCATTCATTTGTTCATGCATTCCCTTGTTCACGGATTCATTCAACAAACCCTACAAAGGGCATTGTCTATTCCATGAGGCAACTGGAGAAGAGGACCCAGAAATGTTGATTGTGTCAGCCACTGAAAGGAGAGGAAGAGAAGGGAAGGAAGCCAGGGTCATGCCCAACCCTTAGCTGCCGAGCCTGAGCTGACATGGGAGTGTGCACACAGTGCAAGCCGGGGAAGAGGGGAATGATGGGGAAGGTAACCCTGAGGTCACCTCATGCCGAGAACAGCAGGGGCCGCATCAGGCTCTGTAGAAGTTTGTCACCTTCCGCTCCATGTGACTGGTGCTCCCACATGGCTTCCCTCCACAGTGGGCTGGTTCACCCATCACGCTGGGCAGGACTGATGCCATCCAGTGATGACATGCCCCCCCCCACTCCTGGATCCCCCTTGGTAAAGAACCACATAACACCCTGACTTCTTTCCCAGGTACCTGGCCAATGACATGGAGGAGGACAACCAGGCCCCTAAACAAGACATTTTTTACTTCCTCTATGGAAAGAGCTATGCCCAGCGCCCCATGTTCCACAAACTGCGGTTCCAGTTCATTCGATCCATGGACTGGAGGATCTGGGTGTCTCGGGAGGAGTGTGAAGAGGTGGGTGGGTGTGGGGCATGTGGGGTGCAGAAGGACAGGCTGGACAGACAGAGATAGGAATGCGGTTGAATGCGGGAGTTGGGATTGGGGAATGGAAGAGCTGGCAGGTGGGTCCAAGGATGTGGAGTCTTCCAGGAGAGTCAGTAACTATTCATGGAACAGTTTTTTTCTTTTCTTTTTTCCTTCCAGATCCAGGCTTACAACCCGGAGCTGTGGGTGTGGGCACGAGATCGAACCAACCTGACCTAGAACCCTAGGGCCATGGAGGCATGAGGTCATTGGCCTGAAATAGGTATGTCCTTGGTATCTTTTAAAGTGAGTCTGTGTTCTTCCTTGATGGCTGTCCCTTATTTATGGTGGTATAGTGAGTGTGTTATTGAACCCAGAGCTCATCAATGGCCACTAGTCTAGTTAGCCCATGTTCTCCAAAGACCTTTGTCTGTGCCTACTGTGTATCCGGCTTGCAAGTGGCTGCCAGGCCTGCCTGGCTTCTAGGTGGGGTTTAGGGATCCAAACTCTAGTCCCCATACTTGTGTATCTGGTTTATCCACTGAGCCATTGTCTCAGCCACCAACTGCACTCAAGTTCGTGCTCCAGTGTTCAGGACCACCTTCCTTAGTTACTTTGGGGAAACTCTGGTCATACTTCATGGAAGAAACTGAAGAGGAGGCTTATTTTGTCCCACAGTTTCTGGCCACCATGATGGTTGAGGTTCGGCCAAGTGGCTCTGTCTGTGGTGTCGGGATCTTCCAAGGGTTAACCAGGATGCAGCAAGGGACTGGAACCACAAGTGTGTATAAGCTCCAGAGGCCCAGGAGTAGAAAGAGATGAGTCAGAACCCATGTCAAAAACAGCCCGGCACTGGGGAGGAGGAGACAGGCAGATCCCTGGGCCTGGCTGGATAACCAGCCTAATGAATTGGTGAGGGCTAGGGCAGTGAGAGACTGTGTCCAAAAACCAGTTGGGGGCCAGAGAGATGGCTCAGTAGTTAAGAATAGTGGCTGCTCTTCCAGAGGTCTCAGGTTTGATTCTCAGCGTCCATGAGGTAGCTCACAACCATTAACTCGAGTTCTAGAGGATCTGGCGCCCTCTTATGGTCTCTATGAGTACTACATGCACATGGTACAAAGACACCCATAGAATAAAAAATGAGTAAATCTTAAAAAAAAAAAAAAAAGTGAATGGCACCAGAAGACTTCACACACACACACACACACACACACACACACACACACACACACACACCCCACACACACAGAGTAACCCAAGAGCTAGCAGGATAGCTCAGCAGGTAAAGGGTAAAGGTACTTGCTGCCATGTAAATTCAACTCCTGGAATCCACATGGTAGATGGAAAGAACCAACTCCTGCAAATTGTCCTCTCACGTCCAAAGTCATTGCTGTTGCACACACCTGCCCCATAAATAAATGGCAATAAAAATTTAAAACAAGGGGCTGGAGAGGTGGCTCAGAGATTAAGAATACTAGTTGTTCTTCCAGGGGTTCTGAGTTCAAGTCTCAGCAACCACATTAATAATGAGATCTGGCATTCTCTTTTGGAATACAGGTATATGTGTAGACAGAACACTTTTACATATAAATAAATAAATAAAATGTGTTAGAACAATTTTCCCACCAGCCTTGTCCCATAGCTGCATCAGCCCCAAATAATACACTGAGATGCTGCATTAGATATAAAGCTGTTGGCTAGTTACTAGTATTTCTTATCAGCTAGCTCTGCCTTAAATAAGTATTTCTACGTGGTCTTATCTTACCAGAGAGAGAGTCCAGACTTCTCTCAAGTCCCTATATCTTGATTCTCCTTCACTACATCTCCCAGAATCCTCTTTGTCTCTTAGTCCCGCCTATTTTGCCTTCCTATTTGCCAATAATGCTTTATTCATTAACCAATAAGAGAAACATATTTACAGAATGACATCTCCCATCGAAATGTTTATTTTTTTTTAAACAAGTGATCAAAGAGGAGTAAAGTGAGAATTAGTCCAAAACCATATTCTGAGACTCTGGTCCACATCACAAGCAGAGCCTCCTCTGGTCCTTGCTGTCAGGCAGGGTGCTGGGCCAACATTAGACAGCTTCTGGGAATCTAGGTCAACTAGTATGAAAATCACACTTGAAAATGATGCTTCAGGGTTAGGGGTTAAGAATCAAGGATCAGCCAGGCCCGGTCATGAAAACCATAACCTCAGCACCCAGGAGGCAGAGGTGGGAGGCTGGCAATAGTGCATTCCAGGCCAGCCATAGGAGTGCTTGTCTCAAAACAAGGCACAGGTTAGAGACAGCTCATCTGGGAAGAGCACTTGCTGTTTTTGCAGAGGACCCAATGGCTAGCTCACAATGAGTTGTAACCCAAGCTCCAGGAATCTGATGCCCTCTTTTTACCTTCCCTGGTATGGCACCTACATAGACTCCCTCCCCCAAACAATGACAACTACCAAGAATGAAGTGTCAAGAGTCAGGGTAGGTCTGTGACAGGGCACTTGCCCACCACACAGAAGCCTCAGGATCTGACCCTGAGCACACAGAACAAACATACAAAAGAAACAAAGGTCAAGGTAAGTTCCCATTTGTCAAATGTTCTAACCTCTAGTTAGGATTGACTTCAGACATAACTCTTGTGCATACAGAATTGCATGTATGAAGTCTGACACAGTCTCTCTCTTCCCTCCAGATCCCTGCCTGAAGGAGACACTCTATGCCAACATTAAGGACTGCTGAGGGAGAGGAGAGAGGACTGCCTTCCACAGGAAACTAGAAGAACCCAGACTCTTCTAGAAGGAGTGGAATGGAATCCCCACACTGTGTTCCTGGGAGCAGGAACACATGTAGGGAGCTCTGGAGGAGAAAGAAGAAATCAGAATTCCTCCAGGGGCGGCTCTACTCAGCGGCACCATCCAAATGTCATCCCAAATGTCCTCAGTCCCATCTCCCCCAAGGTAGCAGCCCTGTGGATCCCTATAATTGGTCTCCACAGTCTGGGGCCGTTTGAAGGAGGCACCTCAGGGCTCAGATGAGGAGGGAACTACCTTCAAAATACAGTACTTGAGCCATATTTTTATAATAGAAACTTTAATATATTTCATTTTTATTGGAGTCTACAAATGTTTATCACAGAATTATTTATTTTGAATATTTTTGAGATATTGTGGATTGAAAACAGAGTTCTCAGTTTTGCGATGGGAGTTACAATTTTCATATGTGTAAATATTCTCACTCTAATAGTAGTTTCAGGTTTTTTATCTATTTGTTTTGTTTTGTTTTAGACAGAGCCTCACTATGTAGCCCTACCTGGCCTTGAACTTGCTTCATGGAACAGGCTGGCCTCAAATTCACAGAGATCCATCTGCCTCTGCCTCCTCAATGCTGGGATTAAAGGTGTGTGCCACCATGCCTTGTGGGTTTTTAGATTTAAATTCTAGAGTAGGACATAGATTTTATTTATAGATACTTGTTTCATGTAAATATAAATTCTTGTTTGAAATTTACTCTTTATTACTGAGTTGTGAACAAATGATACTTATTTAACTTCCTTTGATCTAAAGATAATATATATATATTTTGAAGGATCACATAATTTTAATAAATATTCGTTTGTCAATAGCCTATTCTCTCATCTTTCTATAGTATGAGTTTATTTATTTCTTCCTTTCTTCTTTTTCTTTTATGTGTATGACTGTTTTGCCTGCACTCAAATGCATACAGTGCCCACATAGTTCAGGAGAGGACATCAGATTCCCTGGAACCAGAGTTACAGACAGTTGTGAGCCACCAAATAGATGCTGGGAATAGAATCAAGATTTTTCTGAAAGAGCAGCCAGTGGTCTTAAATGCTGAGCAACCTCTCCAGCTCCTTGTTTATTTTAGCTGTTCCTTCATTTCTTCATTTCTTTTTTATTACATATATATGTATATATACATATATATAGTGTGTGTGTGTATGTGTGTGTTTATGATACATGCAGATGCCTCTTCACTCATGTGAAGGTCAGAGGACAGTGTTCAGGGGTCTCTGGAGTTGGTTTCATCTTCCCATCACGTGAGTCCTGTGGACCAAACTCAGGTTGTCAGGCTTGGTGGCAAGTGCCATAAGTGCCCTTACCCACTAAGCCTTCTCAGGTCATGTTTTATTTTATTTTTTAAAAAAACCACACAGCATTTCCTGTAGGGGAGTAAAGATGAAACATCTCCTGTTCTTGAGGCTTCTAATCCTGTCAGTCCCAAATATTTGCTACTTAGTGTTGTTTAACAGAATTCTACTCATCTGACCATTTTTTTAACTAATAAAAGAATACTGAGGTTACCTATTTTTTTAAGTTTTGTTTTTTGTTTGATATTTTTGGTGTTTTGTTTTGTTTATTTGTTTGTGTTTTGTTTTGTTTTTTGAGACGGGGTTTGTCTGTGAAGCTCACTCTGCATACCAGGCCAGCCTCTGTTTTAATTTAAAAAGTGTTGCAAGAGAGAAAGACCTTTAATGCCAGCACCTGGGAGGCAGAGGCAGATGAATCTCTGTGAGTTCAAGTCCAGCCTGGCCTACAGAGCAAGTTCCAGGATAGGCTTCAAAGCTACAGAGAAACCCTGTCTTGAAAAACCACACACACACACACACACACACACACACACACACACACACACACACACACACACACACACACCCCGAGGCAACAGAGCTCATATGGAGGGACTTTTTATTAGGGGAAAGGGAATGGGAAAGGGAGGAAGGGGAGTGGGGGAGACCAACCTCTGGGGACAGGAGCAGCAGAAGAGAAAAGAGGGGTTGCAGGGGGGATGCAGGGGAGACAGAGAGATAGGCAGAGAAGCAGAGAGACAGGGAAAGGAACAGACAGAAAGAGAAAGATGTGAGGTGGGCAGGGTCCTTTTAAAAGAGAACACAGTGAGTGTGCACAGGAGGTACTTAGCAGTTGCAGCTGAGAGTGTAACTTGTCAGAACTCCAAGGGCAGGCCAGTGCAGGTGCCTGAATATAGCATTGAACTCATAAGCATCCATCTGCATCTGTCTCCTGAGTGCTGGGATTGTGGCGTGCACCACTACTGCCTGGCTGAGGTTACCTCTTTATATACCTCACTCTCTTTTATTTTATGAGATAGGGCCTCATATATTCTAAGCTGTCCTCAAAGGGGACATGATCCTTCTGCCTCTAACCCTGTGTATCAACTTTGCAGGCATGCATCATTATTCTTGGTCTCTGCTGTGTTGGGGGTAAAACCCAGGGCTTCATGCATGCTAGGAAAACATTTACTCTACCAAAAAAGCCACATCCCCAGATCTTGAATTAGAATCGTTTCATGCAGAAAAAGCATTGAAGAAGGCTGGGGCAATGACTCTGTAAGTAAAGTTCTTGTTACGGCGGAGCACAAAGACCTGAGTACAACTACTAACAGCCCATAGAAAGATGGGAGTGGGGCTGGAGAAATGGTTCAGAGGTTAAGAGCACTGGCGGCTCATCCAGAGGACACAGGTTCAACTCCCAGCACCCACGTGATGGCTCACAGCCATCTATAATAATGAGACCTGGTGCCCTCTCCTGGAATGCAGGCAGAACACTGTATACATACATAATAAATCTTAAAAAAAGAAAGATAAGTGTGGTTGCACATGTCCCATAACCCCAGTGCATTAGGGATAGAACTTAAACTGCAGGTTCATTGGGAAACCTGTCTCATGGGAATAAGGCAGTTACATTCACATAGGTGCAAAAACCATATATATATATATGTACATCCATGCAAATGCAGTACACAGGCAAGTGTCACATACACAAAGTGCACACACACACACACACAGACACACTACTTTTTAAAAAGAAGAAAAATAGCAGAGGCTCCACAAGAGACTGTAACTTGAACCCAGACATAGGGAGGAAACCCAGGAATGCAAAAACAAAAAACCCAGAGTAGGTTTTTAATATTTAAAAAAGTAAAACACAAACAAGCAAGCAAGCAAAAAAAAAAAAAAACCCAAAACAACGGACCCAACAACAACAAAACATGGGTTCCTGGAAAACAACCCTACCTTCTATATAAAGGAAAAGTGCAGGCTGGAGAGCTGGCACAGTGGTTAAGAGCACTGGCTGCTCTTGCAGAGGGCTTACATTCAGTCACCAGCACTGATATGGCAGCTCACAACTGTCTATAATTCTAGGTCAGGGGCTATGTAACGCCTCCTTCTGGACACCATGGATACCTGCACTCACGGGCATGTATCCCACACAGATACACATAATTTAATCAATAAAATAAAAAAATTTAAAAAGGAAGTCAAAGAAATAGGAACTTCAAATGGCGAGTCACATCACATCCACAGCCAACAGCAGGAGTTAATGCAAGCATGCCCTGTTGCATGCTTCCTTATGCTCAGCTGTATTTTCATATAGTGTAGAACTAGTTTTCCTTCAGGACCACATGCAAGTTTTGTTCTATCAGCCAGTTCTCAAATAACCACAAAGAGACCTGACATTAATTATAAATGCTCATCCAATAGCTTAGGCTTTTTGCTCACCATCTTGTTCAACTTTAATTAACCCGTATTTCTATTTTCTAACAAGCAGCTGGATACCTTATTTTTGTACAGCGTGTTCATCTCCTGCTTCTTCAGCATCTCCTCACCACTTCTGAGACTCTCATGACTCTGCCCTTCCTCCTCCCAGCATCCTCTCTCTCTCTCTCTGAAAATCCTGCCTAGCTATAGTTCATCATCTTTTTATTAGCCAATGAGAGTAAAACATATTCGTAATGTACAAAAAGATTGTTCCATAGCAATATATAGTTCAGAAGCCCTGTCCAGGGAATGCTGCTGCTCAAAATGAGCTGGGTTTTCCCACAGCAATTAATGTAATTAAGACAATCCCCCACAGACATGCTCACGGGCCAACCCGATGTAAACAGTCCCTCATGGAGGTTCTCTTCCCATGAGATTCCAGGTTGTGTTGATTTGACATTTAATTACAATGATCATACAAATTTCCCAAATATCATTAAATAAACTGAATGCTCTTTGGTACAGGTAATTCATGTTCTTTAATCGCTGATTTTTAAATATCTGTGCATGTGATGTACATGTATGTGTGTGTGCACAGGCTAAAGTGTACAAGGTCAGGTGCGTGCATGCCTCCACAAATGTGGTCGTCAGAGGATAGCCTCCAGCATCTGTCCTTTCCTCCTGCCTTGTGGGGTTTTGTTTTTTAAAGATTATTTATTATGTATACGGTGTTCGTTTGAACGTATTCCTGCAGGCCAGAAGAGGGCACCAGATTATAGATGGTTGTGAGCCACCATTTGGTTGCCAGGAATTACCTCAGGACCTCTGCAAGAGCCCTTAACTGCTGAGCCATCTCTCCAGCCTGCCTCCTGACTTGTTAAAGACAAGCTTTGTCGCTCAACACTGATGATTTCTGGCCTGTGAGTGTCTGAGAGTTCTCTGGTCTTACAATTGGAGCAAGGAGCAATGGGGTTCCCATCCCTTTTTTTTTTTTTTTTTTTTTTTTTTTTTTTGAGACAGGGTTTCTCTGTATTGCTTTGGAGCCTGTTCTGAAATTAGCTCTGTAGATCAAGCTGGCATGTGCAGGCAAAACATTCACATACATAAAATAAAGATAAATAAATCTTTAAAAAATAACGTGTAGAAAGATTGAGGAAAAGACCTGACACAACTTCTGCCCTCCACATGAATGTGTGTGCACATGCACCCACAGGCATGTGTACACATCTACATAAAGATAAACAACACACACAGTTGTACTCACAACATCTTTCCTCATTTGCTGAAATGTCTGTGTCATTCCTGCCTTGTAAGGAATTTCAGTCTTTTTTCTTTTTCTTCATTGATTTCAGCGATGTGACACATGATCACTCAGTGGTTAAAGCCCTTGTGGTGTGTGCAAGCAGCAAGCTTGAAGACCATGGAAATGCCAAGTGGGCATGGCAGCTCTCCTGGAATTCTGGTGCTTGGGAAACAAGAGACTGGTGCCAGTGTGTGTCCTCAGAGCAAGTTGGAGAGACTCAGGATATTGGGGGAGCTCTGGGTTCAGTGGAGAAACTGCCTTAATGGATAAGATAGTGAGCCATCAAGGAAGACATCAGAAATCAACCTCAAACTTCCACCCCCCCCACCAACACACCCTCACATAAACATGGATTTACACACAGGTGAACATGAAGACATCCATGAATGTATAACATACACAAACACACACACACACACACATACACACACAGAAAAAACAAAGAGGCCATACTGACACACAATTATGGAACATGAAATACGTATATAATCTTTATTATCTGTCCCCAAGGGAAGGACCATGTAACATGGATGCTCTTTTACACACATACCCTTTTAAAAATAATATACAAACATCTCCAAGCATGTTTAAGTATCACAGCCAAATATTCACATTCAACAACGGAGACTAAATATAAATAAAAACTTACATCCACAAGAATCTATCTAGGGTTCTGCTACCAGATAGAAGACAAATAGACATGTACGTATAATAGATTTTAAAGGTTAAAAATTCTCCATTGAGTTAAAAGTTATGTATATATAAACATTTTAAGAGCTATGATAAAATATAGGAGCAGAATATTTTCAAAATTGGTACTATCATAAAACTAAAATGCTAATTATTCTATAGTCAACATATAATAATACAATAAAATTTATTAATATTACAACAAAACTTGTTATGTATACTAATAATGTAATAAAATTTGTGACATGTGAAAGTTATTACAATTTTGTAGATCAAATGCTATATTTTAATTTTTTAGATCAAGTGCTGTATTTTGAAGGTAGTTCCCTCCTCATCTGAGCCCTGAGGTGCCTCCTTCAAACGGCCCCAGACTGTGGAGACCAATTATAGGGATCCACAGGGCTGCTACCTTGGGGGAGATGGGACTGAGGACATTTGGGATGACATTTGGATGGTGCCGCTGAGTAGAGCCGCCCCTGGAGGAATTCTGATTTCTTCTTTCTCCTCCAGAGCTCCCTACATGTGTTCCTGCTCCCAGGAACACAGTGTGGGATTCCATTCCACTCCTTCTAGAAGAGTCTGGGTTCTTCTAGTTTCCTGTGGAAGGCAGTCCTCTCTCCTCTCCCTCAGCAGTCCTTAATGTTGGCATAGAGTGTCTCCTTCAGGCAGGGATCTGGAGGGAAGAGAGAGACTGTGTCAGACTTCATACATGCAATTCTGTATGCACAAGAGTTATGTCTGAAGTCAATCCTAACTAGAGGTTAGAACATTTGACAAATGGGAACTTACCTTGACCTTTGTTTTGTCGGTTCTGTGGTGCTCAGGGTCAGGCACTGGGGCTGACACATGGAGCAATTCTGACTTTTAACACTCGATTCTTTTAAAAAGTGTGTGTATGTGTATGTATGTTGATAGGACTGGTAATGCTATACTGGGATGGGCTGTTTGAAAGGATGGAGGCAAGTGTGGGATGAGGGTGGGTTAAGTAGGCACTTAGTGGTTTTCTTAATTAGACCATAGACAGGACTCCACAACTCAGAGAATATCAACATACCTTCCTTGGGCCGATGACCTCAGGCCTCTAGGGTTCCAGGGTTCTAGGTCAGGCTGGTTCGATCTCGTGCCCATACCCACAGCTCTGGGTTATAAGCCTGGATCTGGAGAGTCAGATTCCTGAGCAATGCCATGCCCTCCCCAATACCCTTATACTTCCTGTTTAGCTTCAAGGTTCCCCATTCCCCAAATCCCACCTCCCACATTGAATTCCCCCTCTGTCCAGCCTTCTGCACCCCACATGCCCCACACCCACCCACCTCTTCACACTCCTCCCGAGACACCCAGATCCTCCAGCCCATGGATCGAATGAACTGGAACCGCAGTTTGTGGAACATGGGGCGCTGGGCATAGTTCTTTCCATAGAGGAAGTAAAAAATGTCTTGTTTAGGGGCCTGGTTGTCCTCCTCCATGTCATTGGCCAGGTACCTGGGAAAGAAGTCAGGGTGTTGTGTAAGGCTCAGGAGGACTCAGCATGGGATCACAGCACAGCAGACAGGATAAGCCATAGGCAGAGCCCTATGCTATCTCTGCAGTTCTCTCTGAGATAATGACTCCACACTCTCCCTTCTCTGGATGAGTGCTATGTGCACACAGCTGCGTCCTGCCTCAGGGTTAGCATCCCAGAATCAGGCTTCATGCTGCTTGTCTTCCCTCCTTAGTGCTCAACTAAGGGTTCTGAGATCTCTCTCTCTATCTGTGTTACCTCATACTTTGTGATGCTAAGGGTGCGCTTTCTAGAATGTGTTGAATGAATCGTTGAATAAGTGGACAAATGAACGGAAGTGATTGATAAGGCATATGCAATGCTATTTACTTCAGTGACCGAGTATATGACAGAAATGCATCCAGAATAAAACAGAACTAAGGTGTCCCAAGAATGGCTGTGTTTGACAAGATCCTGCTTTCAACAAGTGTCCACTGTGATGGGATCAGGGAAAAGGAGAGACCAGAGGCTACAAACCATCCCATAATATACTTTTTATTTTTAGTTATGTGTATATGTGGGTATGTGCAGGAGTGCAGGTGTTCATGGAGAGTACTGGACCCCTGCAGTGCTGTGAATGGCCTGATACGGATGTTGTGAACTAAAATTCAGTCCTTTGTAAGAGCACTATGAGCTCTGAGCCACGGAGCTCTTGCTCCAATACCTCCCAAATCCCATCTTGACAGAATTTCAGTATAGTTCTGCTGGAGGCAAAAGCTGGTGGATCAAACAGGGCAGACAAAATGCTTTGTTCCTTTTCAGGTTGATTTGAGGTGCCCTGCTATGTGACTGTGATGTCCTTAAGATCTTTGGCGCAAGGGATCCTCCTGTCTCAGCTTCCTGAAGTATTTCTGCTATAGGGAGGCTCCACCTTATCCTGTTAGATTTCAGAGTAGGAATTGATTTTAAGAAGAGGTGATTATCTCCAGGCACACGTGTGTGAAACATGTAGACAGGGTTAAAAGAGAGGGCACAGCACTGGAAGGGGACTGGAGGGAGGGAGGATTGTTTGTAGTTGAGTTTGGTTGGGGAGTTCCTAGAAAGATGGCTGAGTTCATGCTTGTGAACACTTGCCTCCAGGTATGTGCTGGGTCAGTTTAACTGTCAACTTGCCATGACCTAGAATTACTGTGGGAAAAAAAAACTCAGAGGGAGGAAGTCAAGGAGGGGATACAGCCACACGTTAGTGCTTGGGGACAGGATTGAATCTCTACAAGGGGCTTTGCATTTCTTGGTTTTATTCTGTGTGTCCTTAAGTGAGAGAGGGTGTGTGTCTGGAGGTGCACAACTAAGTACTTAAATTTAGCCTGAAGTCAACCCCGGGTTTTTCCTAGGAGCTGCCTACCTTGTTTTATGGGATAGGGTCTCTCACTGAGACCTCAGTCTCACCAGTTAGGTTAGGGGGCTTCTCTGAACCCCAAGTGATCTTCCTTTCCTTGACCTGCTAGTACTGGAATTGCAACCACCTGGCCCACCATTTCATCCTAAAAAATCTGAAAAAGTCTTCATGCTTGTATGGCAAGTACTTTACCACTGAGCCATCTCCCAGCCCTTGCTAAATTATTAGGTGGTATTAGCTTTTTTTGTTTGTTTGTTTTTGTTTTGTTTTGAACAAAAACAGTTTAAGGACATTTATGCTACAAGGACAGGTCAGAGGCCCACTTTTTGTGACCCCCCACATCCAGGGCAGGGGACAGTGACCAACAGGGGGAGACAAAATACTCACAGAGCCAGGAAGAAGTGGATTGGCCTATACTGCCAGGAGAAAAGCCCAGCGCGGCTGAAATAAGCTATGACCATAGACAGGAGGTACTGATGGAGAGAGGAGACAGGAAAGGAGATGTCACACCCTGGAGAGGAAGAGTCTAGGGACAGGGGAAGGGGAGGCTGAGCTGGCATTAGGCTCACAGAGGATCCCTGAGCTTTGGGTGCCTGCTGGAGTGAGGAAGGATGGGTGAAGGGGGCTTTCAGGCAGGCCAGGCCCGGGGAGGAGGCCCTTGTTGATCCAGCATGGCTGGCTCTGAGTCAGTTCTGAGGGAGGGCTTGGGACAACAGGGACAAGGAGGTCTTTGCCCTGCAGGAACAAAGGGTCCCAGGGAGCTGTGGGGAGAGAAGAGGCAATTCCCAGGGTAAGATGGTGACCATGGGCTCAGATTCCAAGGACCCCAGTGAGTCAGGGGCTTCCTGTCCACTCTGTAAGACACTGCCAGGCCCTGAAGAGAGACACTGGCAGGACACCGAGGCTCAGGACTGTGTGTGTGGCTTCAGGGGGCACTGTGGAGGGACGGAGCACCGTGGGTCAGGCAGGACAGATCTGGAGCCCAGCTCAGCACACCTTATCAGACACTCTGAGCGTCTTGTCCCAGGCCAGGAATTTTTTCACGAGAGGATCCTCTGTGAACAAAGCACATGTGTCATGGTGTGAAGGGGAACAGCTGGGAGAGAGAGAGCCAGGCAATGGCCTCCTGGGGGAGGGTCAGGTCAGAAGGAACACTTAGAGGGCCCAGCTGAAGGAGTAGGGATGGCCCAAGCCCCTTACAGCTGTAAGACCATGAGTGACTCTCAGGTGTTAGACATTGAACTACAGGATTCTATCTCTACTGCTGGATTTAGGTCTTTCTTAAGTGTGGTTGTTTTTATGCTCTATTCCTTCCCTTTTGGAGTAAGAAAGTGTTTGACTTGATTTTCATTTCATGAAAGCACAAAGTTAAGAGACTTTCATTATTTTCAAGTAACTTCCCTTTTAAAGAATTAGAATGTTTATTAAACTGTGAGGCTTTTAAAGTTGTACGTTATTTATATTAATACAAGGTCTTGGGGACACTGGGCATGGTAGTGAACACCTTTAATCCCAGCACTCGGTAGGCAGAGACTGGCAGATCTCTGTGAATTTGAGGCCAGCTTGGTCTACAAAGTGAGTTCCAGGACAGCCAAAGCTACACAGAGAAACCCCGTCTCAAAAACCAAAAACAGCAACAACAAAAAAGATCATGGGAACAAACAGAAAAGGAAAGGTTATACCTTAAGGTGATATATTTATGTACCATGTTGACAAGAGGGGAAGTGTAGTTAACTTCTGGTCCTGACTTGACACAGTCCAGGATTACCCGAGGGACTCTCAGTTTAGAGATTGCCTCCTTGCCTCCATCAGATTGACCTGTGGACATGTTCTGGGGTAGTTTTATGATTGCTAATTTACGTGGGAGGCTCCAGCCCACTGCGGGTGGTGCCATCCCTGAGGAGTGTCTGGAGAGGAGTCACTGGTAAAATTTAGAAGGTCAGTGTCACACAAGCCACATGTAAGGGGTGTTTTATATGTCTGGGACCCTGGGATCACTCCAGGAGCTCGAATGTGCAGGAGATGACCCTGTAACTGAGCTGCATCCCCATCCCAGGACCAAGACGTGTCAACACGCCGTGATATCCCCCCATTGCACCAAACACACCACTTGGTGGGCCAGAAGCACTTATGCTGACAGTCCCATTTGATGACCTTGAGGGTGGCAACATGACTGGGTGGTCCTCATGTGAAGGGAGACACCTTAACTCAGTGACTCAGGAAGACGTGAGTTAAACTCCTCTTCTTCACCTCCATGTGAACCTTTGTCCATTCTAGCCTAAGCCCCTGCCATCAATTGCCCTGACAACCAACTGCATGTAAGTCTTCCAGGCTAACAGCCCTGGGAGATGAGGGCAGCTTTTCCCTGGGGAGGGAGGTTGACTAGAAGTTCCCCCTTTTGCCTAAAGAGGAAGCCATTCAGGTGTCACCTACCCAGCAGCCTGGTGAAGACCTTGTGGTGTTCAGGTCTCACTGTAGACACGTGCCGCCTCTTCAGCGTCATCCGGAGCCCACACAATGTCTCCACTGACCACACCGGCTCAGGATCAGGTTCTAGCAGCTCTGCCAGGTCATCCTCAGAATCTGATGACAAGTCTCTCTTCCTCTTTGGGCTGGTGGATGGAGGCTGGGGATGGGCCTCCTCACTTGGTTCTAAGTGAAGAAACCAGTGTGAACTCAGGCTTTGCTGATCTCAGCACTGCCCCCACGGTACCCCCAAACACCTCAAACACCCCAAGCTCCATCAGCTTCTGATTTTCCCCCAAACCATCATGCCATTTCCCTCTGTGCTGATAGCCACCTGCCCCTCATCATGTGCCCATCCCCTCTCTCCCTGTTCCTCCAGGTTCTTTCTCATTAGAGACAATTGTCCCCATAAAAAGGAAGTCTCTTCTTGCGTCCCCTCTTCTCTGCCCTGTCTTTGCCTCTTGGTGCCTGACCCCTTCCTTGTTCTGCGGGTTTCCAGACATGTGACATCTGTGTCTGACCCCCTGTCCTCCCTGCCTCCAGGCCTGCCTCCTGGACCCTCCTTCCTTCCTTCTGTGTCCTTCCTCCTTGCCATCCACCTCTCACATCTCTTCTCACCCGGTCCCCTCACCTGTTGGTCCTGAGATCTCCCCGCCAGGTGAGGGCCTGGTGATGCCAGGCTGAGGACTCTGTTCCTCAGAACACAGTGACAGTTGGCCAGCGGTCACGATTCTCCCAAGCTGTTTCCTCCCTTCCATGAATCCCAGCCTCTGATCTATCCCACCCTCCTCCTGGACTCTGACTGAATCCACACATGATGTCCCTTCCCCCATCTAGGGAGAGGTGAGGTGTGGAGGAAAGCTCCAAAAAGAGGCTGTTGTCCACCGAGCTGCCCACCACCATGGAGTGCTTCTCCTCCAATCAGGAGGGGCAGACGCCTGTGATGTCATCAGCCTTCCAATCTGGCAACCAGTTTGAAATAAAACATGTGTAACTGACAGATTGATGTGTTTTCTTGTTCTGAGGATTCGGGGTCAGTTTGTCTCCCGCCACTGACCTACACTCATTCCATCTCCAAACCCATTCTGCATGCCTGTTCCCTTTGCAGTGTGTGTACTGGGGGGCTGTGTTTTCTTCATGCGGCACTGAAACATTTTAGATTCACCTTTTCTCTGCACCCTCCCATTTGAAACGTCAGTGTCTTCCCCAACATACACCATTTCTCCATTCAGTTAAAGAAAAGGAATTTAAAATTTGAAATTAATTAATTACTAATTAATTTTGATTTTTGAGGAAGGGTTTCTCTCTGTATCTCTCACTGTCCCGGAATTTGCTCTGTAGGCCAGGCTAGCTCAAACTTTGAGTTCTGCCTGCCTCTGAGAAATTTCTTTTTATAATTCTTCATTCCCCTTCTTGCTCTGTGGTTTTCAGTCCATGCGTCATCCATGTCCCATTTCCTGCCCCCCCCCACTTCTCCAGTCTCTGGCATCCAGGCTCCTCCTATCTTCTATGCCCCTTCTCTTTATGGCCACCTGCTCATATTTCTTCTCACCCTGGTAACCTCACCTGGGAGCTCTTCATCCACCACTGGTGAGGATACTGTGGTGCTAAGCTGGGGACACTGTTCCTCAGGTGGCGAGGATGGGTCACCGGCAGCCATAATTCTCTTAGGCACTTTCTTCTCTTCTATAAATCCTAGACTCTTGCCTCTCCCAATCTCTTCATGGGCTCTGGCTGAATCCACTCCTAGTTCTCCCTTCAGTATTCTAGGGAGAGGTCCGATGTGGAGGAGAGCCTTGAGAGGTGAAATTGTCCACCATGCTGCCTAACCCTTCCAATCAGGAGGGGCGGAAGCCTGTGAGGTCATCAGCCTTCTAACCTGGCAACCAGTTTGAAAGAAAACATGTATAACTGATGAATTGATGTGTCTATTTGTTCTGAGGATGGATGTGCATACAGTCTTGAAAATCTATAGCTGAAGAATGCAATGGGTATTCTAAAGAAAGCAAGATAACTATAGTTGAACACAACAAGGTAGATTCTTTGGAGGACTTGTGAAGTGATGGAGATCTGGCATGTGGGCTGGTATCAGGCCAAAGGTTCTCTTAATGACACCTTTGAACCAGTGCTTCTGACTGGTAAGTGCTACCCATAGATGTAGGTAGTGTCCATATGAGCATGAAGACCTCAGTGCAGAGTTGAGGGTGGGCTTCTACCCTTAGCTTCTCTATGCCTTGCTGGGCCTACACCTTTAATCTTTCCATTGTGTTCTCTTGTGAATATGATCTTGAAGAAATTGAAGAAATCTTCCAATGCTGTGACTCCTAAAATCTAGTGAGACCCTTGTGTGCAGAGGATGGCTGCTCAAGATGGATTTTTGCTACCTGTACTCACAATGTAATTTTAATCACAGGATTCAAAACTGAATCTTTCAGCTGATCAAGTTTATAAGAGGGAGAAACATATATGGCAACAGTCTCTGGATTCTGACCCCTGAGGGAGAGGCCAGCCCTGAGGATCATTGAAAATTGGAGCATTTCCAAGCCATGGAGGAGAGGAAGATCCTGGGCAAAACAGTGGCATCTCTTAACAGAAGGGTTGACATTCAGTATCTATTCTATCCTGCTTATATTTCTGTTCCCATAGTTAAATATCCTAATAAAAAAGTAACTAAGTGAAGAAAGGTTAGTTCAGAATACAGCCAACCACTGTGAAGAACAAGGCAGTATCAAACAATTAGTGATATCACATCTGCAGAGAGAAACAATGTATACACGCTCACTTATCTTCTGTGCTCACCTTGATTCCTTTACTCTTAAACAATTCTGAATCCCTGTCTCTGGGAATGGTACCACCCATAGTGGGCTGGTTCTTCTCATAGCACCTTAATTAACTTAAGGTGATCTCCCACGGACATGCCTATAGGACAACCCATTCATTGGAACTCTCCTCCCAAATTATTCCAGATTGTGTCAAGTTGACAACCCTGAAGCTAATTGTCAAAATATCCAAGAAGGAGGCAACCTACTATGGAGCATAGGACAGAGAACCAAAAAGAATCAAGATGCAAGAACAGCCAGCCATGGATTGAGTGCAGTCATTATACAGTGGAAGGTGAAAGTAGATAGTAGCCAGGGATCCAGCTGGTGCTGTCTTATCTGTCTTTACTAGTGTCTTACAAGCTATCCAGTCTTAGTTTCTGTCCTCTGCCTGATACAGAAACACACAAGGATAAATGTCCATTGACATTTGGAGGTGTGAGTACGGGATATGCCGAACAGTGCTGGGAGGATGTCCCCATCCACATTGCTGCCTTTTCAGAGACCCCCTCTGCATTGGCCTCAACTTTATATGCGCTTGCCTGACCAAACCACAAACTTTCTCCTTTTCTTTCTGCTCTATTTTTGATACCAATTTTTACTTTTAAACCTGGCTAAAAGCAGCCTACAATGACTATGCCATATCCTATATGCTATGCTGTCTCAAAAATTCCCTTATCACTATAGTTAGTACATTCCTATCTTAGCTTTTTTATATGTTGCTATGATTAAAAAATGCCTCAAGGAAAGCAACTTAAAAGAGAAAGGACCGATTCCGGCTTACAGTTCAAGGGTATAAACCATTGTGGCAAGGAAGTCCAGCAGCAGGAGGTTGAAGTAATTGGCTATAGTCAGGAAGCAGAGAGTGGATGATATACAAATGTTGTTCAGCTCCCTTTCTCCATCTTATACAGCCCCAGTATGCCCTGTATAGGGTATGGACCTGCCCACAATGAAGATGGGTTTTATGACATCAATTAATATAAAATAATTCTAGATTCAGTCAAGGTAACAACTCTAACCATCACAACTTCAAAGTCTCAGGGCATGGTGATTCATGTCTATAATCCTAGCACTCAAGAGGCAGAGACAGAGGCAGAAGCAGAAGGATAATCTGCAAGCTGGAGACCAGCCTGATCTGTATAGTGAGTTCCAAGCCAGACAAAGACACATAGCGAGACCCCCCCTGAAAAATACAAAAAACCAAACCAAACAAACAAACAAGAAAAACAAAGTCTCAGGACACAGGCAAAATATTTACAAATTCCTTGGCAGAATGTAATACAAATAGCATTTTGTGCAAGTTCTCATACATATATCATTGATGGGGGATGTCCTTCTGTATATGTGTTTCTCTTATTGGTTGATGAATACAACACTGTTTGGCCAATAGAGGCAGGAAGATAGGTGGAACTAGGAGACAAGGAGGATTTTGGGAAAGGTAGGCACAGAGAGAGACCGGATAGAGACACCGTGAAGGAGTAAGAGGTCTGGACCCTCCTTCTCCAGTAAGCCAGGACCATGTAGAAATACTTAGATTAATAGAAATGGATTAAAAATTAAGACAGAGCTAGCCAATAAGAAGCACTAGCCATTGACCAACAGTTTATTATATTATGTCTCTGGATGTTTATTTGGGGCAAATCACCTGTGAGACTAAGCTGGAGAAAAACTCCAGCAACATCTCATTCTCACTTGAAACCCTTGGGTGTGGTCTACACTGTCTGAATATCTACCGGGATTATCTTTTGAACTCACTGTAGGATCTCTCACCAAGTTAGGTTTACAGCATCCTAAAACTTCTGTACTGTGACCCTCCACACTTCTTCAAATTCCTCTTCCGGGTCAGCTCTGAAGACTTAGAAACCACAAGGCCAGTTTTATCACAGAAATGGTCCCACTTCCTGGCATTATATTTCTCTATGAATTGCATTTATATTTTTATGACATAGAAAGAGGAACATTTCATTTGACCTCATTGTTTCAGAATGTCTCTGTAATCATTGTGAGGCAGAACATCGTAGTGTAGGATTGTTGCTCCTTGTATGGTAAACAAGAAATGGAAAAAGGGAGACATGAAGGGACCAGATAGCCCCAATAAATCCCCTCCCCGCTACCACTGAATCTTCTTCCTCAGTCTATGCCCCATGTCTTAAGTTTCCAGGACCTCCCAAGACAGTGCCATTAATTGGGGACCTAGGCTTTGACACTGCTGGGACAAACTATTGGAAGGAAGGAAATGTTTATTTGAGCTCACAGTTGAAGAGGCTACAATCCATCATGGCAGGGAAGGTGTGGTGGCAGGAGTGTGAGGATGTTCATCACATTGCATCCACAGTCAGGAAACAGAGAGAGACAGGGAGGGAGGAGAGGGAGAGAAGAGGGGGAGAGGGTAAGAGAGGGAGAGGAGAAGAAAGAAGAGAAAGAGAGACTGTTGATCAGCTTGCCTTCTCCTTTTCTTCTTTTTTATTCTGTCTAAGACACTAAGTCCATGAGATGGTGATGGGAGATGCCATTATGTATATATGTTTCTCATACTGGTTAATAATAAAGCACTGTTGGCTAATAGGAAAGGAAGATAGGAGGGACTAGGAGACAAGGAGGAAATAAAAAGTAGTAGGGAGGAGTCAAGATGGAGAGTCTAAAGAAAACAGTATGCCGCTGGCTCCCTGGTAAGAGAAATACATAGATCAACAAAAATGGGTTAATAATTAAGGCAGAGCTAGCCGATAAGAAACAAGTAACAGGGCCAACAACATTGTATCAAATACAAAGTCTCTATATGTTATTTGGGGCTGGTGCAGCGACAGGACAAGACCAAGTGACAGACAAAAAAACCGTACTCGTTACAAGATGGTGCTGCCCATTTCAAGGTGGGTCTTCCTTCCTCACAAAACCTCTCAGGAAACTCCCTTAAAGACATGCCAGTGGTGTGTTTCTGGAATGGTTAGTGTTAATTACCCACTTGACAGAATTTAGAATTGCCTAGGAAACAATCCCACAGGCATGCCTGTGAGGTAATATCTAGTTTGGAATGGCCTCTGGGCAAGCCTGTGCAGAGTTATCTTGATTGGGTTCACTGAGGTAGGGAAACCCACTCTGC